CTCGTTCACTAGAGTATATTCAAGTGAAAATTATGGCCGCATTTTCGGAACCACAAAACACTCTATCAAACTAAATAAAAACACAGTTTTTTCCCATATAGATGAATTTAAAATTTTAATTGATAACTTCTTACTAACTAATCATTAACAAGGTGTTTGAAATTACAAGCAATCAAAAAAAAACGTTAATCAGCGCATTCAAAGTCGATGAATAAAGGATGGTGGATAACTGAGTTCAGAAAACTTTGATGAAATATTATTCCAGGTGAAATCAAATCTATGCATAACCATCTTTTTACCTCAAGATCGTATAACAGTTCATTAAACCATAAGAGATGGCTTTAAGTTGAGGATAAACTAGATAATCACTGGTCATAGATAAATCAACATAATCATTACGATCTTTTACAAAATGAAGAGTACGATGTCTTCAGTCATGACAGCTGCGAGTGTTCATAACTATGTGTGTTGTGGACATGTTCGGTGAAGCATAGCCAGATATGACAGATGAAAACACAAATATGATGAAATATAAAGCGTGAAATGTTATGTTAAGAAAATCACACTCCACCAAACAGTTCTCACACACATAGAAAGTGGACGGAAGAACGACCGAAACTATTGGGTACAATTTATTGTGCATAAGAACGTTGTGAGTAGTCCCTGATTTATGGAATCAATCGAGCTTTGAGTGCCACAAAAATGAATACGTAATTAAATTGACCAAATTTGAAAGATATGACCTACTAGAATTCGATTAGATTTTTAAAGATACAATAGCTCACTCTAAGGAATAAAAAATACGACTACTGTGTTTCACATCAAGATATAATTAACTTGAGGTTGGATTCAACAACTATCAATTCATGAATGAAGTCCCTTTCAGAGCACAGAATCCAACTGTCTACTTCATACACAATTGAACGAAATTCTTTGTAATATCAAAATCTCGTGTACACGAAATGGATTCACTTAGACTACTGACCATATTTCAACTTGGTTGATAGAATTCGGTCATCATTAAGATGGACTAGACAGACAAGGCATTAGTTTCTATCAATCTAGACATTGGGTTGAATTTTATCGATTCATAATGTATAACAAATTCATCAGAATATGTAAAACGTCGAAAAACATTTTTTATACAAAAATGTTTACTGGTTTTCTAGGCATGAATACATATTTTGATATTAGCTGGAAAAAAAACTAATTTTTAAAGCAGTAATAACTGAGTGTTAGATACAAGAAAAACGTTTTTATGTAGATGTCAGTTTTGATTATCCTTCGGTCTGTAGATAGACAGAATGACATTCAATCCCATCTCCAGTAGTTCACATTGATGTCACAAATGGAAAAATGTATCCAGCTATTAAATGTCACCATATTGTTGAAAAACATCCGACTAAGGATTTTGTTTTCTCTGCGGTAACTTCAAAAAATTGTATTGAATAAACAATAACCATCAAGGAATTTGTTGTTTGGCTTGATGTCATGATCAAACTGACCAACTAATTCTTAACTCAGTAATATAAAGGGAAGGTTTTCATTCATATGGCAGTCAAGCTCCTATATCAGCATTTTATTACTGAACGAAGGACATTAATATATGGTAGCAATTATTGTTGTGTAGTAACAAACTAAGCTGTGTTTCACATCAAATTCGAATGCCTTGAAAAATGTATGTTTACATTATTCACTCTAGTCATACGTAGTTTAAGAGTGAAATTACTGAAATCATTTGAAAGAAATGAAAAAAACTTATTTGAAATGCTTACACTTTGCGTTGCCAATTGTATTGAGAACATAAATCAATAAGAATTGATTACGTTATTGTTTGTTCTCAGTAAACTATTAAGAGAGTAGAAATCTGTTATGTTGTTTACACAAACAAACAAGTAAGGATATCAGTTAACATATGTTAAGGATATTGATAAACTGTTAGGTAAGCTTGACTATCTAGAACTTAACGACCTAACTACCAAATTGCTATAATACAATCGATGTCCAATAATATGTATTCACCTTGATGGGCAAGGAAACAACTTTAGTCAAGAGGTAGTATTATACTTATTCAACCGCAGGAGTAAACAAGGTTAATGATTTAGTACTTTTGTAAACAATTTTAAACGCTCTGAGCACTAGATAAAGGTACTTTCATGTAGTGTAAAATACGTTATTCGTTTTTTTAGTCCTAAGATAAAAAACGAAGATTGTCTCTTTGATTCTGATTGGCTCACCACTATATTATAATTAGTCAGATTTACGCAATTAATTACTATTCAATCTAGACATATCGTGTTTCTGCGTGCATATGTTAGCTCAAGGCTAACTGATAGGTGAGATATGAGGATGCCATTAATGTAATTCACTAAGATTTAGCTTAAATATTTAAGGGAAATACACATGTACATGTACCAACTAGTTGTATACAATTCCATTTGAGTTGCCAATATAGCTTTATAGTTATTTTCATTTTCTTACTCATTGAGTATGTTAGGCTTGAGTATAGAAAAGTCAATGTAATTAAACGAATCAAACTTCAGTTATGAAACATGAACATCTATTCATTACACGCCTATCTTCTGTGAATGAGATATCCTAGTTATACCGTCAATCCACATTTCAATAAAATATCTAGGAATGCAATATTCGATTTTTTGTCCAAGGGGAATTCAATAAATCAATGACGGACATCAATATTTGCGTTCAAGTTTAATTTTCCTACCAAAATTTCGTGTTCGTCGACAAAACAGCTGAAATTCAAGGGCAAAACACGTGCTGAAAACACAGTTTTAAGACCAAACTAATTAAATTTTGATTACAAAGCGAGAATTCATTTTATTATCGTCCTGAGTGAATAATACTGGGGAGCTAAACACACATTTTAGATTGACTGACGTTTTGCACCAATTATTTACATCCGTAGATAGTTTTCGCCAGGAGTGGACATCGGTATGGGGTACTACGGAAAGCCAAGAAAGAATTGACAGTTGTTTCACGTCTCCATACGGTATTACGGCCAGCCTTTTCTGATGAAGCTTATGAAGCCATTCTGGAATGGATTCCGTGTATTCAAGGCTCACAAAAACACCACGTGGATGAGATTTTGTAGGGAACCGCGACCTCGCAGGTCGTAAGTAAAGGATATTTGGTTATTACTTACCCTGGATAGGTATAGTCTACGTGCATACTAGGTAACACACGAACTTTCATTCGAGCATTCACTGGATTACATACAGGTATACTTACCCTGTGAAAAAATATGAGTTACATGCACACCGGTAACACAAAGGTATTATCCCACGCATATATATAAGTATATTCACCTACTTGGGAAGGCAGATATTCACTGTTCCCTTGGAAACGTATTTGCTACACCAAACTGTCTCTTACACATTACTTGCATATCATTCAGCCCATGGCTACCGCCACAGTACTTCCTGACACACACATAAACATTCTCCTGGTAGAGGCTGTCGGCCTCTTCCCTTTAGTATTTGCTACCATATCTTTCAATTATGTTTTTACCTGACAGATTATGCCGCCAACTTTATTAGACACAGGGTAGACAATATTTCAGCAAACGACTCCATTGTATGACACTACACGTACACCCTTTGCATATACCTACATAGGCCCGGGGACTTATGCAATTTTTATACATAAGCCTACACATCAGGTGACGCGGAGAGATTAAGTGGGACTCCAGTAGAACCCAAGACTGTCAGAGTGAGTGATCAGTCCGACCTCCGTTGACTACTTAAGTTGGCTAACAAAGTCACCCCTATTTTCCAGCAGCGCTGCGAGGAGGCCTTAGGTCGGATTTTGCAGCCACGTCTCCACAGCTAGATCTGAAATTCATCGTTTTGACCTCTTGGAAAAATTTCAAATGAAAACTACTGACAAGTTCTATATTGAGACAAAACAATTGTTAAGTGTTCGTTGGTTTTTAATCAAATCCCGCCCGATGTCAATTTGCGAAACAAACTATTTAGAAATATTTAAAATTTCTATTTTGAAAAAATAACACAACATTTACTATGATACTGTGAACTTGCCTAAAGATAACTACTATAATTGAAAGAAACTAAGGAGAACATTGCCTTTTCATCCTATTTAATAAATTTATCTGCATTCTTGGTGAAACTTGCATTGGTGAGAGCTGAGATTGCTTCAAAGTGTCGATCTTTGGGGTATTGGGTTCGACAGCAGTTACGACATAGATTTCATAGCTTTGTTTTATGGACGATCGATCTTTCGGTTGGTTAATGATTCTAAAAATGCAATCATTATAGTTGAATTTCAAACGATATTGGTTGAGGGAATTTCGTCTAACAAAACACATCTGAAAGAGGACAGAAATTGATTTTGTTTTCCAGGTAAACTTTCTATATGACTGATATGACTATTGTAAAGTCCTTCTTCTTACTATTATCGAAAACATATATTTTAAAATAATTCGATGATTATCTGTAATATTCAACTTGGTTCTTCGTAAATATTACAAAAACATTCGATCAATCTAAAAGATGTTTTCATTTTGAATCGAAATCATGTGGAGAAACTAAAAAGAAGTATATCATTTTATTTCCTATTTGAACTTACTATACAAGGCAAGGTGTAGAGCGACAATACAACGTCGCTTAGGATTACCTACGGATAGAAAGTTATTATTACTAAATAGTCAGTATTCTTTAAACAAGCAGACATGAGAACGATCATGAGTAGACTGATTATTATTAATAACTAGTACTTTGTTGTTAAGTTGCCTCCTATTTCAAGTAATAACCTGAAATCTATTAACTATTAAAGTAAATGTTTTTACATGAAAATGAACAGCGATAGATTATACCAACAGCGATGAATGTTAAACGGTGACTGTACGATTCTTAACTAAAATTTCTTTAGTTCCAACCCTGTTTCGTCTATTTCAGTCTAGACATTAACTAACTTTAATCAACTGTTTTCTTTTTAACCGTTAATGACTACAAGGATCAATTAACTTTAAATGGTTTATGTTATTTTTTTTTAAAATAAATAGACAAATAGCAACAACGAAAAAACAAACAAACGGTATACATCTGTTGAAATCTTTCAAATCGAACAATCTTTTTTAACAAACTTATAAACACAAACGAGTTCACCAAATTTTCACACACACACACACATACGATGAGACCAGCATCAAAAAAATGAGATTTAAAGAAAGAAAAAACACTGACAAATTACACAACCAACAACCAACAAAAAAGAACATCGATGATATTCGATTTGTTTTGTTTCGAAAAAAGAAACATAACATTAAGTCAATAAATCAATCAATTAATCAATAAATTATCAAATATAATAAACATGAATTAATTAAAATCAAATTAACATAATGAATGAAAAGACAGATTAGTGGTAGTAATAGTGAAAGTATTTGCTAGAATATGGTTAATATCAAAGAAACTAATAAGTAAATGAAATTTCTTTACAGAAACAAAAAATAGGATGATGGCAGCGGTGGCGTCAGCAATAGCAGCAGTAGAAACAACAATGAAAGCAATAATATGAGGCATCTTAACGATAGCATCATCATAATAGTTATCATCAATAGTAAATGTACATAACAATGATAAAAATGAACAAGCAGTAAGTAATTATGGAACAATAACAGAAGAGAAATTGATTATGTGCGTAAGAGGTATAGTTATAGTTAAAAGCAAAATTATAACGATTGAGTTGTAGAAAAACAGGAAACCGTCAAGAAGAACCTACATGAATAATGTGAGATTTAACGATAAGGATAATAACAACACAGAAGTATTAGTAATCACATTAGTCTCAATGTTACAAATAATTTACACATGAATCAATCCATAAAAAAGGAAGGGAAATAGAGAGAGAGAGGGAGGACAAGCAAAGAGACCAAGTTATTTACATAATGAGATGAAAGAAAACCAGTATCTGTCGTAAGCAATATAGAAACGAGACAATTTTCAAAGGAAGAAAACTCAATACACAATACATTAACATTGTCTTATATTTCACAGAAGTTTAAGTGTATATTATTGGTAGTATAGCACATCCAACAAGTACACACATAAGGATGGGATGGAAATAGTGGGATAGAAGTAGAAAAATAAAAATGTGTTACCTTTGAATAGAATGTTCGACTAGTTATGCATATTTCTTTATAATTACAAGCAACAGACAACACAGAGATGATTATTATATGATTTAGATAAAGCAATAAAATAGTAAAGAGAATAGACCTTGGATAAGATTTAGCATATAAAAATAGTGTTTAATTAGTGTTGTTATCGTTATTAGTTTGTTCTCTGTTAGTATCTTTTTTATGGTTATTATTATTATTATTACCACTACCGCTACCAAGAGTGTGATCAAGATTAGCATCATTGTTATCTTCATTTGTACTAGTTGGTGTTGTGCTGTTTGTAGTACCAGTACCAGAAGTAGTTGTAGTAGTGGAGCTAGTAGCAGTAGTGATAATCGTCGTCGTCGTAGTAACAGAATTTCTTTGCACATTAACAGTATCCTCATCAACATTATTTGTCACATCTATAGTAAACTTATCCTCAACAATTGGCATATTTAATTCAAATGGTTTAGAAGTTCTACGACGTTTATGCTTTATGCCATCTTTGCGTGAATTGATATTACGTAGAGATGAAGATGAAGAGCCATTAGTTGGCACTGAATCACCAGTAGTATCTTGATTAAAGCTGGATTCTGATGTTGGTATACTACTATCAATATTGGTACCGGGTTCTGTCAATAATAATGTGCCAGATTCCAATTGATTAACTCCTGTATATTGATCGACATCTTGTTCATAATCTTCATAATCTTCCTCTTCTTCTTCTACAACTGGTTCTAAACCAGGATCTTCTTTGACCTCTAAGACCTTGAGTAAATTGGGTAGTTTGAGGACGGCGGGGGAAAGAGAAAACGTAAGAAAATAAGCCCGGTAGATTAGATAAGAAATTACACAAAAACTTAATGCTGTACATTATCGAATAATATTTTTTACAAAATTAGCTACAAAAACGTGAGTTAGCTAAATCCATTCTTATCGAACCAATTCTCCATGAGAGGTTCTCGAAACATTCTATTTGAGCAGAGTGCTCATTATTAGATTCGTAACAAAATATTCCAAAATCAAGAACAGTGCAAATTTTTATATACACAAAATCCCAATCAGCAAGCCACTACCACTTTATCTACACTGATTAACAAACAATACTGTGTTCGTCTCAACTTCAGTCTAAGTGGAAGTCTATCGATCTAATTGTTAGATGATTACAAGTTTAAGTGACTTGATATAGCATCCACAATTGTTTGATATTAGAAAGATGAATGAAACCAATAGAAAACCCTGGACATAGCTATCGTGCTTGCAACCGCTTGTCGGCGAAACCGGTGTAAAATTTCATCATTGACCAATCAAACGGTTAGACAAGTGAAACTATTCAGATGAAACGGTTGATATTTTCAATTAAAAAGTAGATTGGTAAACGCATAAACTAGCGTTATACGCTATGAGGTAAAAAAAATTTTTGAAGATTACAAAACATTCTGCTCAGATTTGTGTGTCTTTATACGTATAACTTTGTTTTCACATTTTATTAATGTACATGTTTGCGTGAACCAGATTGAAAATGCAGGTTAAACCAGCTGACGAAGTACGGTTACAAAACTTTAAGCAACGAACCTTAAGTTTCCATAAATAAAGGTAAATTGTTCAAAGTATACAGTAACTTTCTACACACCACACTACAAAACGTAACTATATTAGACTTGTTGTTGGTTGGTCAACTTATTCATTACTGACTTACTTTTGGTAAAATTAAAGTTTTATTACCTAACTTAAAGACTGATTATTCAAGACATACATGCAGCACTTTGGTCAAAACTAATTATGAAATATTGATTAGGAAACTTCAGGTTGTTTCCCGCTGAATTTTAATGTGTTGTATACTGATGTCATAGTTATGTTTAAAGGGCGGCTATACTGCATTTAAAGTATTCAAATTTCGTAAGTGTTCCATACTGATACAACCCCTTTACATCTAACCGATTAAAGTTAATCGTTTCGATTTAAAATAAACAGTTATAAACTGTAAATATCTACGAAACAATTGAAGAAATTATCAAGAATAGTATTTCGATATTTGTTATATATATATATCTTTTTTTTGAGACTTAATTTCTAATATCAAAAAAGAAACTCCATAAAAGCTCTACTCACTTCAACAGATTGAGCTGGAAGTGACAATGATACTACAGGAGTGGGAACTGCACCACCACCAGTGACTACAGATGCAGGAATAACAGCAGCGGGCAATTTCAAACCACCGACATTGACCAAAGAAACAGACTCATCTGTCATAGGTATTGTTGTACCAGTAGCATTAGTAGTGGTATCCAATGTCTTATTATCCAACAATCCAGTGACAATACCACTGGCAGCTAATGTCGATGCTGGCTCTGTTGAAAAAATCATATGATGGCCGGATGATATCGGCAGACAATTTACAGAAGATTGAGGAATAATAGATGGTGATAATTGATCAGTGGTTGTAGTCTGTAACTTCAGGGCATCGATCACTGTCAATGAAGTTGAAGATGGTACTACCGTCGGTTGGTTTACCGCATAATGACTGTCGACGACGTCAACACGTCGGCTAGTAGATATAGGATCAACTGCTGTCATACAATTCACGTCTATGGATTGATATTCACTGACCATATTACCCAGTTGTTGTTGCTGTATATAATATTCATGATCAGTCGTCGGCAATGTCGGTGAAATGGTATTATATTCATAACCATAGTTTGTATGATCCACATGATTTGGTACTAACTCAGTGGGATTGTATGATGATATTGGCTTATTGGAAAATCTTCTTTTTGACAGCCAACGCAAAGGACAGCCAAGAAGACAAGAGGTAAACAAAGCAGAAGCAGAAAATATAAAAGCCATAGATGATGCGTTATGCGTTGGAGCATTATACACTGCAGAAATACTGAATGGTAGTGTTTTATCTATTTGTAAATCTCTTAAATAACCTAGGAGAAAAATAAGCAAAAAAACATCAAGAAGTGAGTGAAAAAATTCAATCGAAAAACGCGAAACTGTCACATTCTTCTCTATGCTACTTATAAGTAGGATTGATTTTGTTAAGTTACGAAAATGGCAATGAGATGGAGGAGAAGAATGATGAGGATGAGCAGAGGACATGCATTATCACAAAAACAGATGATAATGAAACAAAATTTGATTTCAGTAAATTACAGCATTGTTTATTGACATGAAAAAGTAGTCTTTTCTTGTTTCAAATCATTTAAATTGAATTACAGAATGAAAGAACAATCGAAAAAACTGAGAAAAATCGATCAGAAATTACGCACACACACAACAATATCTGTGTATGCGTAAGAGAACGGAAAACGATCTCTAAACCGACAGGATTAATTTAGAATGAATGAGTTTTATTCAAATCATAATCCGTTCTTTGAAATAGAAAGGGAAATCATATACATAAGTTAGTATATGTTTAAGTAAAGTTGGATATTGGCTAAAAGTGGAACCTAAGACGCGAATTTCATCCTATGTAAGTCGAATGTACCTACTAAATCCAACCCCTAATAAAAACAACGCGAAAATTGAAGCCCTGACAATCAAAATAAGTGGGCAGTGGTTCAAATGGCTAAATTTCTCTTTTAAACTATAGTTCTTATTTTGACGTCCTACTAATCATCCGGAACTAACTTACTTAATCAAGATATATCAATGACGTATGGATTGAAGTTAGGCATTTACACTGTTGGATACCGGCTCTGGGGTCTAGAGGTCAATCTTTGGCACGAGTCCCGTGTATGTGCGCACAACTGGAGAGTCCTATACTGTGATGAAAAGGCCTTCCAGTGCTTCCACGTTTTCAACGATAGTCTATTCGTAATAGTCAACTCGTAATTTCAACTCTCTAGACATATTTGTTGAGAATGATTGCTTTTTGAAAACCTGGAATATTAGATAAGTTGATTGGAGTGTGATATGACCGTAAGCAAAACATTTCAATTCCTATGATGAAATAATACCATTGAATATACAAGTGTAAAACGAAAGTAAGGTGCTTAAGCTAAATAGCTAATATTTCCTTAGACATTTTATCTACAAACGGAAGACGAAATATCGAATCACTTCCAACTTATACATATTCCCTAATATGATCCATGAATAGTAAGTAATTGTGATACACAAAACCAGTGAGTATGAGTATCACAGGTCCTAAAACACTCTTATCTACTGAGCTCTCTGCTAATATCCTTAGTTTTTTTCGGATCATCCAATAAAACAAAAAATTCTTTCCATCGAGTACTCTCACGCGGTAAGTAAGCGTTAACCAACGAGAAAAGCTTCTAATGAAACACACTTGAATTTATTTTATGCACTGTGACATCATTTATTTATTATAAAGTGATACAACTATATCTCGATTTAATCATTAAGACATTGGTAAAAGTTGGATAAAACTTATTAATCAAAGAATAACATTGAAATTAAATGGAAACATCTTTTTCAACAAAGAAGGTGATGATGATGATGATGATGACGAATAATAAATCGATATATTACATTACATAATACTATACAAAAACGAAATTATTAAAATTAATTGTATTACAATGTGATTATAAAGAATACAATGAGAAATCATTGTTTACCAAATCTATCAGAGGAATTAAACCAGATCAAAAATTAAATGGGATTTAATACACAGGAAATAATCACTTCTTACTACATTATCTGCCTTAGATACCAGATAAAAATTCTGAGTAGGGGTGATAAAATAATAATGAAGAAATGTTAAATAAGCTTTATTTTAAATTAATTTAATGTATGTATTATTATTATGATTGAAATTTACTTAGAATTGTTTGTTTGAATCTTCCCATTGATGTTATTAGGACTGCAACTGATCAGTCTCTAATTGGCATATGTGCATACTCTGTGTATTGTCTCGATATGGCCTTAATTCACAAACATGGTAAGCAAAGATGGATAGTGGCTAGCAGTGGAATCCAGTTTGACGCGCGTTTCGTCCTATTTGGGACTCGTCAGCTGGATGTACCTGCAACTCAGAGTTGATGTTCACTCTGGGACTCAAACCCAGTACCCCCGCTTCAAAAGTCATCGCGTTACCCACTCGGCCACTGAGTCCTGATATTCACTTGCTTGTGCGATGGGGTGAAATTTAAATTCATTCAGTATTGTGTTTGAATCTTCCCATCGATTTGTTAGGACTGCAACTGGTCAGTCTCTAATTGGCATATGTGCATACTGTGCGTATTGCCTCGATATAGCCTAAATTCACAATCATGGTAATTAGAGACTGACCAGTTGCAGTCCTAAAAACATCAATGGGAAGATCCAAACAAACAATACTAAGTAAATTTTAACTTCATCCCATTGCACAAGCAAGTGGATATCAGGACTCAGTAGGCGAGTGGATAACGCGACGGCGTTTGAAGCGAAAGGTACTGGGTTCGCGTCCCAGAGTGAACATCAACTCTGAGATGCAGGTACATCCAGCTGCCGAGTCCCAAATAGGACGAAACGCTCGTCAAACTGGATTCCACTGCTAGCCACTATCCATCTTTGCTTACTATTATTATGATTTCTGTTAGCCAATAAACTGAATGTAATGGATCTCCGAAATTCTGGCAGTTGTTAAAAAGTATTTGAAACGATTGTAAACAAGTAGCTTGGTGATTTTGAAGCAAACAACATTAAACTGATAGGCTCAAATTTCGATCTAGCTACTTATAGATAATATTTTAACTAGGCCAATTGCATAGACACCTGTACTTGATAATTGAATTACGGTGATCTCAGTTTATCTTATTAGCATGATTAATATTCAAATAGTCCCACACAGAATAATTGTAAACAAGTGAGCAAACAGTTTATATGGTGAGTCTCTTAAGCTATTCCTCGTCAGTCACAAACCTTATTCTAATTATATCATTTAATTTGTCACTATGAGAATATATTTAGCATAGCTGAATAATTTAAATAGAATCTATCTAGGTAGACGGTACATCAGAAAAAAATAAGCAACAATTACGACGGTATACCTAACACAGTGATTTTTGTTATTCTGTGACCCTTAGTTTTGTTTTCTTTTTAGTCATAGAAGTATATAAGTAGCTCGCACAATGGGATTGAAATGTTCCATCACTTCATTGTTTATCTATCATCTACCATTACGAAAACGTTCATGACATTGTTGTTGTCCGTTTCTTGATGAAATTATGTTCTTATTACACTACAGACAATTGGAATAACAGCAGAATAGGAAGGATGAGAAAGTCTGTAAGAAAGAACTCAAAAATGTGCGAACGATGTATTCAATGTATTATTCATACATTTTACAAATGTAGTGTGTGACTTTGTATAATTATACATTGGTTTATCATACCCAAGTTTTCGTTTGTTACAGTAATTGTAAATTAATGTGTATTTTGAATTACAATGGTTGATGTACTTATTGCCAACTGTTGGAAGGAATTTATTGATTTCCTCTCTTCAAAAAACAAACGTTCTAATCCAAAATTAACTCAAGTTTAATCACAAACAATCAAAAATGTGTTACTTATATAAAAGAAAAAAAAGAAAGAGGAAACACTATACAAAACAGATTGATGTACTTCAGAAAAGATTCTTTAAAGAAAAAAAAGACGACCTGATCTTGCATCAATATACATAGAGAATAAATGAAAATGTGTACAGTTACTGACGCAATTATTTAACATGTATATTGTTAATATGTACTTACTAAACAAGTGATTCATGGTATTCGTTTTAAACACTTCTCATTTTCAAGTTTCATTTGATTTATTTTTATGATGTATTATGGTTTAGTTATTTAAGGTACGTAATAGTTATGTCCTGATGGGTGACTTATGCTCATTCAGGAGAGCTAACAGGCTTAAGTAAATAATTAAGTAGTTATGTAGATTTTTAATTCAGACTATTACCGAATAATGTGAAGTACCTGTCTTGGTCAGTTATCCAAGTGTTCTGAATAGTAAACGGGGAATAAATAAGCATTTATAGTTGGCTAACTATTGTTTGATATAAAAAAATTGCTGACTGACTAATAAGCGTTCGTTGGGATAATAGCAGAAAACTCATAACATTAACTGTCAATTGAGAAACTACAACAAATAATGTTAATTATTTTTAATCAATTGAAAGCTTAAGAGAATTTATCTTTATTTATAGATAAGATCAAGTGATGTTAGGAAAATAATCACTAATCAATGAATATATACTAGATGAATAATATAGTTTTTGTTTAATGATTTTTCATATATGTGCAGTTACACTTTCTCTTTTATTAAGATCAAACAAATTAGACTTTCAAGTCACACACACACAGAGCATGATATTGTTCAATTATTTGTGTCATCATATATTTCAATCACCATTTGTTAATGTTTTAACGTCATGACATGATTTCGGTTGAACGACAGCTGAGAACCAGTTGTCTCGATGTAGTACAGGATATGTCAGCAGCGCAAAACTACCTCTCCACCAAGATTCGAAACCGGAAGATTCAGGTCCCGTTACGAAAGTTTAGGCTTCAGATCAATGAGTTGTCACCTAATGAATTACATTTGTAAAATCATTAGATGAGTGAAGAACGTTTACAGGTTAATTTTGGAAATTCTTCTCAATTGTGAAGACAGTAATGTTGTGTTCACTGATTTTACTTGAAAGGTTACAAATATAGTGGCGCAAAATGATGTTAAAACATTTGATTTCTAACCTATGGATCATGAAATGTACTTGCACTCTATCTTCTTGGATTCTAGTAATGGAATAGTATCCGTTAACCTTTTCATAACTAAACTGCAGAACAAATTCGAGTGCATATAGAAAAGTCATGATCAATGAGATGTTAAACTATGAAACTAAAGCGAATAGTACCAGATAAAACTAGGAGAAACGAAAAACATTGTGAAGAAAGTAGTTTAAATTGTAGACTTCTTTTACTTTATTGTTAGACTTCAGTCTTCGCTTGCTTATAAAAACGTATGATACATCGTAGTATCAGTTTTTGTGTAGAGTTAAGGTTTCACAATTGGGTACATTTTATCACTAAATCATTATACTCTTTAAAACTTGAATAGTCTAGTACTAATATTAGATCTTATTAGACAGAAAAAGCGTTTAACATTAAGCTTTAGTACATCAATCTGAACTTTATAACTGAATAAGTTCTGAAAATGTTTCATACTAAGCTATCTTAAGAACAACCATTTATCATCATTTTAACTTATTCAACAGAATTTATGTAAAGATTAGGATATTTATCAACTGAGTATTCTTGATAAGGTTATGAATACTGATGAATATCATACTAGAACGAGATAGCTGTTTAATGCTTTCGGATTTTTTAATAGATGTCAAACCAAGGTCAATCCGTGATGAAAAACATGATTCTAGAATATTGAAATCTTAAAAGTTTGAAAGAACTCTACTCTTTGAAAACTGTAATGATTAGAATATTTAAAATAGTTTTGTACCAAAGAAAGATCCGAATTGACTTTTAGTCACATACTACGTTGTTACTCATCAACTATTATGATATAAGTGTGAAGTACAAAGTTCAAATCAGTGTGTACTAACCTACTGAATAATTTACAACATCAAGTATAGAATTATTGTAGTGAAAACAAACAACTTACCTGCAACTGGTGGACCGACGGCGGCTGCAAAGCCTTGAAATAAAAGTAGGTATCCAAATGCATTAGTTAAGCGATCAATACCGATTAATTCCACGACTAGAATACTTTTTAACGATACGAATACAGCTAGAAGTTGTTTGTTTGTTTTTTAAAGAAAGAAAGTGAAAAAAAATCAGTATACCATATTTAATTGACGTGATTTTGTTGTAAAAACATTGATGAAACTTGAAGATTTATTGAAAACTATGGTAGGCAAGGAATGTAAATAAATATAGATCATATAGTAATGATTTAAAAAAAAACGATTCAGTTTGTTGTTGAGACGTTAATATAAATATTCTTATCAGCTGTGGTTGTCGGATTGATTCATGCCAATTTGATTTCAGGAACACTAGAAGTCTATTTTATTTATAATGAATAAGTAATAAGAGAGTAGATCGAGTACCGTGAAATTTTTATTGAAATTACAAAACTCGACGTCAGGGCAAGGGTGTACTAGGCTTACTGTTATTAAATTGCTCATTTCATTTGTAGAAATACACTTATCACACTTCCGTCTTTAGAGTTTAAAACATTCAAGAGAGACCTCAAAAGTAAAGCTCTTTTACAGTCTTCTTAATTCACGTATCTTTATTTTCACACGCGAAGTAAACAACCTCCATAAACCCCTAAGGGAATGATAAACATGTCCACACTAAATGCTAGCTTTCAGAGGTAATTCTCAGAGTCCTACTTACAAGCGAAATTTAATGACGAAAGGGGTAAGACAGTTACATGGATTCATCAACGGATGCCGTCTGTTTTCCTAAAGGTGGGATCTTTGCCGAGCAACCTAACGGTTGTAAATTCTATTTCAGATAAGGTCGTGGAAGCGCACTGTATAGAAGTCCCAAACTAGAATGTAACAGTTGTCCAGTGGTTCTTGATCATCAATAGTTGTCTAATTAGGATTAATCAGTTACGTAAATTATGAATATTTTCATGCATTTTATTAACTAAATGAAGATAGATCAAAGCCAGATTGACTCAAGGTGGCAGATGACTGCTCGTTTGTTTAGTTACTGACATAACTAAGCAACCTCAGTAGCTCAGTCAGAGTAAACACAGTGAACACATACAAAAGTTCCACAATCTGAAAAACACATTTAACTGATGCTGTTAACACTAGAGAGTCAGTACATCAATGTATATTTCCTGAATAAATAGTGCACATTAGTAACGTTATTGAACATGTTACTGTGACATTTTGTATATAATATCCAATTTTGTACCTACATTGTTGATACACTAAAGTTGACGGTGATTTGACTTCGCAGATTGTTCAAACTATTCAGATTATCAAACATACAGAGATATCCACAAAACGTAAGAGTATTCAATAAATACATCATTATTATTACTACAACCGACGTCATCATAATCATCATCCACGTACCTGAGAAAAGTCCAAAACCACATGAGATTAAAACTAAAGCTGCATAATATCGTCTTACAATCGGGAGTACAAACACAGTTACACTAGTTAACAGTAAAGAGATATTGTTCATCCATAATGAATCAGCCCATTTATAAGTTGTAGACCAAGCTATAAAAATTAAAAAAACAAACAAATTAATTATCACATGCAGATTATATTTTTAAAAATACCGTGGTTAGGAGTAGGATACTGCGTGAAAAAGATCGATTAATAGATAAGTCTGTAAAAGTGGTTACGAAATTTTCTAAAGCACATATACCCATTATCTACCTCAACATGTAATGTTGCCAATTTTAAAGGAATCAGGTCGGGAAGGAAGCTAAAACAAATGGATCCAAATACGACATCAATCCATCAAGCTGATCTGAAACATACCAGAAGGTATGTACTTTTACGTTAGCGTCCTTGAGTTGGTTAGAAATGTTCAGTGACACACAGCAGTTTCATAAGGGCGAAATTGGATTTACGATATATTTTCGTCTATATCATCAAGTATCGCTTCATACATATCTTTCGCTCTTTGACCTCCTGAAGCTCTTTCAAGTTATACCTCTCGTAGTGTGATATTTACATTGTATTATGTTAACTACACCCCCACTATGAGAATATAAAATATAACATTGCAGGATGATTCGAAATTCACGCCACAATGACTCGCACTGAGTGATTATTGAAAGCAACTCACGAAGACGCTGAATGGCAGTTGGTGCGGCAAGGGTTGCATTCCTTTAGTTTGAGAACATATGGAACTCAAAACAACTGTCAAATAATTTCAAAGTGAGAATCTTCAATACGAACGTCAACACAGTTAGTTATAATGTACGGAGCTGAAACGTGGAGAACTAATAAAACCAACATCAAAAAGGCATGAGTATTTATAAATAATTTTGAATGCAAGATACTCAATATCCATTGACTGGATACCATCAGCAGCAACCTACTGTGGGAGAAGATAAACCAGCTCTCAAAAGTTGAGAAAATTAGGAAAAGACATTGAAACTGGATATGGCATACATTATGGAAATCACCAGACTGCATCATGAAGCAAGCCCTAATTTAGAATGCTGAAGGGAAATGGAAAAGAGGAAGGCCGAAGAACACATTACGCTTGGAATTGGAAGCAGACATGAAAATGACGAATAACAACTGGAAAGAACTGGAAAGGATTGCCAAGGACAGGGTTGGATGGAGAATGCTCCTGTACAAGGGATAACAGGCGTAAGTAATTAAGTGAAACCTAAACCCCGAATAGAATCAGTTGGACATCCAGTTGCTGATGTGAATTCACAAATGAAACGAAGGTATAGAAAAATTGATTTCCAATTACTTGTCGAATAGGTATTGAGATTATATGACTATTCTACCATTTTTTTCGAAGTCTTAAATACTTTATCAATAGATTGCAGTATACTTTTTAATTGTAAACAAAACAGAACACAGAGGTGAACTGTTTTTAAAATGGTAAAGTAAAAAAACATTAATGAATAGACAGGTGTTTATTGGATTATGTTCCGGCAACAACAAGATGACCTCCATGCTGTTTACGGATTCGTATTAATTTTATCAGTACCATTAAAAGTGGTCTGTTGATAGATTTCTAATTCAAGACTCTCTAGTTATTTGTTTTTTGCATAAACACTATTTTTGCAATACATGAAATGAAAAAAAAATTGGAAGATTTACTCAACGTCATTGTTCACATGACTTCATATGAAGGCTTGGAATATTCCAGTACATTGATTCTAACCAAAATATAGCAGTTGAACACTTAACATTAGTCAATGCAAACCAAGTGCACATAATCAGTCAGTCAGCTACAACGTAGGACCAAGCACACATGTGCATCGGTCCAAGTTGTCATACCTCATTAGCACAACAAGATGAACACCAAATTCATAGTTTAAGGAAAGACGAAAAGTGTATACACCTAAGCCTTTGTGAGCCATGCCACAGAGTCTCCAACCATTGGTTACGCTAGTTGCGCGGATCACAACCAAGTAGTCTGTATCTACCAACATGGCTCAGACTAGAGGTTAGTGACTTCAAGCATTGATGCCATGTTTTGGTTTGGCCACCCGTAACTCTCATCCAACCATCCCCGATACTAGTTAGCATAGCGCGTTGTGGCAATCGGTGTTCAGACATACGTAACACGTGGTCCAACCATCTCAGTCGATGAAGATTCATGACCTCATTAACTGATTTACCATCATTTCTTAATACCCTGCGTCTAACCTCACTACTACTTACCCAGTGATCCCAGCAGATGCGAGCAATATTTCTAAGGCATCTGTGGTTAAATACTAATAACTTACAAGTATCTTCTACTACTAATTTAAACGGGTTAGTATGCAGCAATTGCCTAGCTGTTTTAAGTGGTCAGTTCATCTCCAGTAATTCACAGAATAAGTGTTTTTTTCTTAGAAAGAATAATTTATTCATTAATAAACTTTATTTGAATATATATTTGTATTATAAATGAACGAATTATCAAACTTCAAATTATGAAAAAATATTGGCTAGACTATCATTGAAAATGTGGAATCACTACACAGATGGTTTGTCAAATTATAAGAATCTGCAGTATCTCCCACACAAAAACTTACTGCAGGGATCTAATCTAGGAACTTTAATTTCGCATGCAAATGCTCAACTGCTAGATCTTTTTTTATTTGAGAAGTGAAACAGCTACTAATCCGTGCGTTAAAATCTTTAGGATTTCATAATCATTAGACTTGATTTAGGAGGTAATCAACAGTACGAAATTTGTCATGAGGTAACCATTCAGATGTTAAACTAGTTGAAATAGACTGCATTTGATAAAACTAGAGTAGAGTGGATAAATAGTTAACAAAATAATCATGTTCAGCTGATTGGTTTATGGAAATTCATTTATTTTGTATGGAACTCTTTCGGATCCACCAAACAGAATCAGTTCCTTAAAGACTAAAGATGTACCTTGTTAATAGGTGTGAAATACCACAAAACCTAAGTTCAGGGTTTGATATGGACTATCTAAAGTTACGCTACACGAAACATATGTCAACCGCTTCAGTCGATGTAGTTTCGCTATATAATCAACCGGTTTTCCATCTTTAATTAAGAATCTGAGTCTAGTTTATATACTGCTTACTCACCTGGCTCAACAAATGAGAGCGACGCTTTGCAAGCGTTTATAATGGAAGTATACCATTACCTTCCGAAATACCCTTTCAGTTCATGGCGGATGTATCATTACCACTATATGGAACAGCGTGAACTCCTGTGCATTACACTTGTTCTTTATTCGGCGGACGGACATTCTTACCTACTCAAAAGTTATGCGTGCCTCTAAATCCGTGGTTAGATACTTAATCAGCTAAAACTACTTATGTAAACCAAACGACGCGTAATATAGCTAACTACTTCATTTATTTATTGAGTAGTATATATTTCAAATGTAAAATGAAGCCTAGACATTTAAGGCATGTTGTACGTAAATTACTGACACATAAGAATATGAAGATTACAAAATTCCAACGCAAATAAAAATACCACATAATGACAATACAGTGGAATAAAGATGTCCTTATTTCGCTTTCTTGACTTTCTAAACAAAAGGATACACAAACGATGAATTCTGTATTGTTACTGTTTGTTGAAAATCAAACTCATGTTATAAAGTACAACTGACAGTGGTAAAAGTCTTTGTCAAAACAACAAGCAGAAACGTTTCTTTTCCTTTAAAAAAAATAGCTCCTACAATAACTTACTATCACTTGAAATAAAGTAGAACGTGTTAGATATGTTAATAAAATTGTAAATCACGGTTAAGTGAAAAAAAAAGTTATCGAGAAACGGAAATGTTCATTGAATGTAAAGATCACTGTTAACCCATATACGTAAGAAATTATTTTCATAATTAGAGATAACATTGTGTAATTTAAGTTTCCTAGTGCTAAAACATACAGAACCCGATTTATAATGAAAAAGATTATTCAAACACATAGTCAGGGATCAACGGAACAAACAAAGCCAATGAGAATGTAAATGCATAAAAACCAGACATAACTCATATTACCCACATAAACTGACAGTGATTATGAAGCGATTCTAAAGCCTTCACTTCTTAAAACCAACTAATTCAGTGTTTAGATATTCAAGCCAATCAATGAAATGTATGTGTTTACATATCTAAGCTTTAGATTTGTGATTTTCTATGGAGAATAATAAACTATTGAATAAAATAAATACATTAAGTAAGACGTTGGTTGATTGACAATTCTAATTTTAGGTAATTTATATTACACGAAGATCATCAAACAATATCATAGAATTTATTTCACTTCAATTATCTTTGAACTGCAACCCAAGCCACAATAATTCACTAGAGAACTAAAGGAAAGCTATCTGTGTGTGTGTTAACCAACAGTGAGAAACATGGAGAAACTAGTAATTGGTATACTTGAAAATAGTAATTTATTAAAGAATTATAAGATGAAAACACACATACACAAAAGAATATTCTACTCATGAAAAAAAGAGATATAAAACTAGACCTATTTGAATTTATGATGTTTTTCCTACCATATGCAAAACTCAGTAATTATAACAAAAATTTGCTTACCTTTTTCAATGTAGAAGGCTACGTATAAAAGTTGAATAGAAAAGAAAAATAAATAAATGGATGAACGAAAGGAAAGGCTACATAAGTCCGGTAAATAATTCAATATATAAATAGTATTGATTTTAAGGACAAAAAAACATCACGTATATGTCTCAGTTGTGAAAGCATTGTGTTAAGCATTTGAAACATTCGACTAGCAGCCATTAAGTCTGATATTCCTGGCATTAGAATTATTGATAAGAGATTCTTAACTGTTTACGAATTATTATCATAAGGGGTTTTGTGGATATTATAGTAATTTTAATAGTTGAGATCATGAATAAATTGAAGCTAGACCATCATGGAAAACCTGGAAGCGCTGGATGAATTCTCAAGAATTTCATTAATTTGAACCCCAAACGGAAGCTCTACTTCCGAGGTTAGCTTATGTACAGAAAACAAAGCTATTCATGGTTTTATTTATGGCCTCCGTATATTGAAAAGCGTCTGGAAACACTGAACTTAAGAAAAAGTAAGTAATTACCGAGTCAGCCACACATAATCAGTCGTTTATCGAGAAGGTTCTATCGCGCATCGATAGGACGAAGTGCATTTCAATTTCTTTTAACTTTAGAAGTCTAGTTCGAGCAAATTTTCAGGGCTCCCAATAAGAGTCACAGATTTCGAATTCTCATCCGAATTAATCCGATTTAGAGATTGATAAGTGCCGCATAAAGTGACATCAAACACAAACAATGTAAAATCAAAATGAGCAGATACATCAATATTCAATCGATATATATATATATATATATATATATATATATATATATATATCACAGAAAACTAGAATAATAAATGATAAATATATCCGTTAAAGTTCAACTCTGATTGATCCTAACAAAACAACTGTGACATTAGAAATAATTCATCGGAAATACAGTCGAACACAAAACTCAGTATGAACCGAAATAGCTTGTACTTTTCTAAATCATCATTCATCAGCATAATGTTAATGCATATCTAACTAACTAGAGTAGAATATCCACAATAACTCATCAAATTATCTGGAGTTGAAGTTATTAGGATGTTATGAAGACTACTACACATGACATTAACGAAGTTAAACGGTTGAAGGCCTAATTGTTGATCGATTACTGGTACTAATATACCACACATTTAATAGTTGCAATTAGTATTACGACCCAAAAACCTACACATTTTCACCTTTATTTGTTGCAACTTAGACAGTATATCTGATCCAAACTATAATTGAGTCAATTAATTTTGTTGTTATATTGAAAAACGGATAGTTGGAATTTATTGATTTTCTTGTTTGTGGATGTGATGGTGAGAAGTGTAACAAGAAATCGAATTGATAAATAATATTAATAATAATAATAATAATACCGTTGAACAACGTTCAGTGCATAGAATAATTGAATTTAAAGAATAAACTTACTAGCAAATAAACGTCCAAATGTATTCCCTGCACCAATTGACGAAATGATAAAACCGGAGTCTTCAAGTTTCCAATTCATTTCAGCCAATAGATCAGGTAACATTAAAAAAGGGACAACCAATCCTGGATGGAGAAAAAATTAACAAACCAAAATACGAGTTCAAGTAACAGCAAATAAATATCTTGATTTTCAATGTGATCTTTGGTCAGATTCAGGCACTCTCTCTATGCAGGAATAATAAAGCGAATTGAGCAGAAGAGGACTAGGAGGAAAGCTACAATTTCCACAACTTTGAATATTACAAATGCTACAAATTGTGCGTACTTAGATACTAGCAGTCAGATATATGAGTAGTAGGTGACCATGGTTACGTGAACAGTAAACGTTTTCATAATAGCCCGTTTACACTTGGCATCTCATGTATCGCTAAACATTTAAATATACTTAACATGTTAATTTCCCCTGGGTTTTTATACTGGATATTTTCTGTAATGCTGTCAGTTGATAAAGTATTAATAATAACGCATGAAATTCAGGACGTCTTTTTATGATAACGTGATTTCTAAGTGATTGATTAAGTGAATTTATGGACACTTATACATACCCTTTCTTAAGCTTCTTGATTAGTGATAACATCTGGTTGCTAAATTAAAAAAGACAACTTCAGTAATTCATGTGAGAGTACTTTCTTTGTACATAAAAGAGATTGTTAGGTGGTTGGAAGCAATTAATAGTAAATTTTGATCTGAGGTTGACAGTGACTACTCGTCAATAAAGAATAACTTCAGTTCCAAGCGAACAAATGATTTCTGTGGTTTTTGAATTTTCGTCAGTCAGTGTCACAAACTGAGACTTTATCACTAATAAATAAAACTTTGCACAACTGAGATATTCACATTGATTGGTAACCAGTATCATTCGCTTTTATTTCTTGGTACTAATTGAAATCGACTGAGCAAGTTACAATGTGATCGCTAATCTAGTTAACTTGACATTGTGGGCACTATATTTTGATGTTAAGTATAAACCATTATCCGGAAATATAGATTTTTTCTGTCGGCAGTTCAGTTAGAGAAGCTACAATGATTACAGTACTTAAGTAATTAGTTTAAATCCCGATGGTATTGAACAAACTGTAGAATGAGCATAGAGTCTATGTAAATCATTGATTTTGTGTGCATTTTACAGATTTTCTATGGCCTTTTGAAATTGTTTCAACGAAATTTGAGTCATAATTTAATTAATTCCGAATTTCATTGAAATTATAAAAACAAATTGTATGTGAATCATGAAAAACCTGCTAACTATGCCAACTAAGGACATAGCTGGAGTTGAACATTTGAACCGATCAATGTGAATATTACTTATATGGGTATAAAAAACTTATCAAGAAAAACATGATTAAGAAATAATAAACCAATAACAAGTTAACATTTGACCAGTGAATCGATCAGTCAGAAATAAATAGTAAACTATATATATCGGTGTAACAATTACAGTGAAGCAGACATTTTTTTTATTAGCACCGAACTCCCTAATGAAAGTAAAGCCTATATTGGATTGCGAGAGCTGAATCAATCATAACAATGGAAACTGATCAACTAAATTAAATTATCCACTCTCAGGCCAATGAGACTGGAAAAAATTACCATATTTCAGTTTATATTGACAACTGGTTTAGCTCTTTCATGAAGCCAAAACACTAAGCGGAACACTAGCTATTAAGAAACAAACGCAAACATTCACACTATGAGCTACAAAAAAATAATATCATTATAAGCAAATATGGATAGCGGCTAACAGTGAAATCAATGACGCGCGTTCCATTCTATTTGAGACTCGTCAGCTGGATATAACTACTTTTTATTTAAGGCAATATTGAGTCTACCTACACATATGCCAATAAGACTGATCAATTGCAGCCCTAAACATAAGTGGGAAGATACAAACAAACCACACAAAATAAATTAATGTCATTGTCAGGTTCAATTTGCTCGCGAACTGAATAAAGTGACCAACGTGAACAACACTGGATGGCAACATGATGCTCTATAGATAACATCTTCGAATTCAAATCCAAGAGTGTTGGTTTCTATTTTTAGTTGGATTGGTAATATTAACTGTAGGGAAATCCCATACACAGAGACTATTCCTAATTATTGTGAAGGTCCCCAAATGCCCTAGTACGGCCGAGGATGGAGAGAGTCGGCTCTCCCTCTCGAAATGTCCTCATATGGCCACGCGTATACAACCACTGTCAAGGAAGTCCTACTCACCATCTTCTCGCGGCGTGGATGTTGTTTACGAAATTGAGAGGACGAAATGCGAATGTCCAGAGCTTTAACCGGATTGGTGGATACGGAGGATTGATTTAGTGGAGTTGGAAAACCCCGATTCCAAACCAATGGTAAACTTGAGCTCCAGGTTCCTGAAGGAACAAATGGTGTATAAACCAACCGTTGGTCACCGGCTACCATGGGACTACATCTCTTGACGTCGCTCCAATGCCTTGTGGATCAGACTTTTTAGTCGGAGGCCCCGAGTGTGTACCCTTAAGAAAAACCCCTGCCTCGGTCTGGGCATCCGCGCAGTATCATAGCCCACACACAAATCAAGTGACTTGTTTAGCCCATATGTATTCGGTACCCCTTATAGCTATATTTGTGCGTTCAAATAAATAAATATATCTAAAATCATATAAAACTGATTAGTTCAACTTTATCACTTACCAAGCATAGCCATCATACTTGAGAAAAGAAAAAATAAGAATGTAATATTGGACAATAATTTCGGTGATAATAAATCTTGCATAAATAAACCAATTGGATTATATGTCCAACAACAGAATAGTGCACTGCCACATAATCTGATACAATGATCAAAACATTTTTGACAACGTGTATAAACAGCTTCATCGTCATCATTCATTAGAATTGTATCACGATTATCATCGTCGTCTTCAATATCAATATCGTCCAATCCTAATTCAACAGCACCAACATCACCATCATCGATATCCACTCCGAAATCTATGAGTCCTTCTTGTAGTTGATGTCGTTGTAAACCAGTATTGGTTATTGTGCTTTCATCACAGTCAATTTTTTGACTAAGACCAAGTTGATTAGAGAGAGGAGTTGCAGAAGTTTCTACACTTTCTGTATTATTTATATATCCGACAGAATCGATTCTATCTGAATTAATATTTGCTCCATACTGATTTATATTGCTACCCTAATTGGAGTTAGTAAAACAGAAAATATAGACTGATTTTAATGTTTATGTATATGTGTTAATGGTTGATTAAATACTCAGAAAGCGAAACGCGTATATCCAGATAATTTCAGTTCTAACATTAAAATTGTGCTCAAGTTGAAGTGGACAATTTAAGAATATCAGTAACTTCAACATAAAATGTTCCCGTAATTTAACATACAAAGGATGAACAATACAAATGTGTGAACAATAAGTTGAGAGACATTTTAAACAACGATATAATGAGTGAAACAATCTAGTAATTCATTTATCAAGTACACATGTATGTACTTGGTTTCAAGTTACATCATTTATGTGTAGCTCAACGATGCTTCATGAAATTTTGAACCTAAGTAAGAGAAAAAACAACCAAACTAAGGTCTTATCACTGAAAGTTAAGTGTTTTAACGAATTAATCACTAGTCAACACAGGTACAACCACACACCTATATATAAACTTGTCCAAGCTCACAGATACATGAGAATGGAAACTTTAAAAAAAACTAAACTAGTATGAAGTGTATAGTAAAAAGTCAGCCGTAACTGTCCAGTTTAAGTTATTCATAGAATGATTAGAAGAGAACATTACATAATGCCATTAGGCGAAAATTGTCATCAGATTTTTTCGAACCATACTAGGTGTATATCCATGTGACAGATTATCAAGACGCCAATGGATGGCCAAAAGATATAACGAAAATAAATATGCTCATTATTATTGTTATCATAACCACATTGTTATGATGGACGGTATCAAAGATCTGATACCGATAAATAATGTGCTATGCACTAACCCCCCAAACTGACAACTTGTGCAGGAAGACAATAATGAATGAGGGAGTCTATCGGGTTACCGAATAAAATGCACAAATATGCGTATATACAATACTCTAGCCCTTAAAAAATCAACCCATTTCCTAGCCAGTGATATGCAGTTATCCTCCAAGTCATTTCTGATTGTCATCAAGTGACCTCATTTGGCCACTTCTGATTGGCTCACTATACTTATCACCATGTTCAGATTCATGTATTTGTTTTGATACACAACAACTTTAAGAAGCTGTGATACCAGTCTGTTGCACAAAGTGAAGTAAGTAGGCTGGGATTCAAATCTAAAATTTAGAGGGTGAAAAGCCGAACGCCTTAATCCATCGCCCCACAACATCATATTTTAGCGTTTATACACTTACCAATGGAATAGAGAATTGCGGTAGGCCAGTAAGAGGAACATTATGTACAATAGATTGTTGATTGTTTAACGGTATAGATGGGCATGGAGCTGGTGGTATAAATTGATTAGTAAACAAATTACTTGAATTAGCAATACTTAAATTTGTCTGACTACAATGCTAAAAGAAAAAAAATTAAGAGTTATTATCAACATAGTGAATATATGCTATGCGGAACGATCATATTTTGTGATGCATCTGAATAAAAACAAAAGTACAACGCAACAGATTATGTACTACATTTAAGCGTTAGCTCAGTCGCTTAATAATTGACATATATACATCTTACGACGAACTTTATTCAGTTTTACGTTATATACAGACAATAATGTTAGGAATGTTTAATAATAGCTAATAAAAATCTGACATCAATTGACAGTGTAATAAATTAGAAAGTATTAAATACTTGTTTTATCTTAGTAAATCTTCGATGTCTTTCATCAATAAAGTGACAGATTTCAGTCACTTTATAAATGTCCGATAGGATAAAGTAATCGAATGAAACTGTTAAATACAAGCAAGATATGAATTTAAGCCACATGATAACATTATTCAATGGTATAAACGTGTTGGAGAGAGAACTGAAGAATTCTTTCTGTTTTGATTTATAAAGCAGACAAAAAAACTCTAGCTAGGTAATTCGAAAGTGATATCATTAAAAATGAATTAGTTGATGAAGTAACACTTATTTGTTGTTGACATAAGAAATACTACATTCCAAATTCTGATTCTAAACTATCACATATCATTAAGTGACGTTTTCAATATGGATAAAGCTTTCAGTGCTTTTCCTCTCTAGCTATTTTGATTATAGTCGACTGCGTTATATCTTTCCATGAATTGTATAGAGAACCTTCAGTTGCCTTGTCTCTTTATCCAACAGACATGATATAATGGTAGTTTTGAGAACATTGTGTGAAGTAAAAGCATTTACCGTAACGGTGTGGTAATCTCATTATTATTATTTAAAAATACCATAAACTACAATAGTTTTTATTTATTTTACTAATCAACTACGCGTTGAATAGAATAGATCAGTAGAAATGCCTTATCTACAACGTGTACACTTTTTCTGAAAAATAGAAAAGTAATTAGACGACAAAACATCTACCAATTCATTTGGATCACTGTATACTAAGTTTAAAGAAGTGAGCGATATTGTATCTCATTTTTTTGACCTAAATTAGATGTGGATGGCCTGTAAACAGTAACTAGTACTTTTGTGTGGTGTTCGGGTTTGCTTATCGAGGTGCCCCAGTTGAGCTAATTTGAATGGATCCTGAAATAAAATAGGTCAGAAAGTGATAAGACTAAAAACAATCAAAGTCAGGTTCGAAGGCAAAAGTGTACTGCAAATGCACTAGAATATGACGCAAGTAAAGTTTTTGTCTAAAACAAACAACACTCGCAACAATGGTACTCGCCCACAACAAAAGGTTCAAAAACGTCTTACCTAAAATTAACACATCACATCTTGGCAGTATATGACCGACCTCAAACAGCTATCCCTTGAACTATGTGAACCTTTAACATAAATGATTTATTTATTATTTATTTAAACACATAAATATTGGTACAAGAAAGCACCAGATAAATATGCGCCTCACAAATCTCATTCGATTTGTGTGAGGGCTGTGATACTGTCAAGGTGCCCAGACTGAAGCACGCGGTTTTCTTAGGGAGCCACACCCGGAGCCCTTGACCTAAAGGTCTAGTCCACAAGGCGATGGAGCATCGTAAGGAGATACAGTCCCATGGTAGCCGGTGACCAACAGTTGGTTCATACTCCATTCGTTCCTTCAGGATACTGGAGTCCATGTGCACCATTGGTTTGGAATCAGGGTTTTCCAACTCCCCTAGGTGGATCCTTCACATCCACCAACCCGGTTAAAGCGCCGGACATTCGCTTTTCGTCCTCTCACTTTTGTGAACAACACCCCCGCCACGAGAAGGCAGTGAGTAGGACTTCCCTGGCAGAGGCTATATATTCGCGTGGCCATATGAGAGCATTTCGAGAGGGAGAGCAGACTCTCCCCACTCTCGGCCGTACCAGGGCATTTGGGGGCTAAATGATAGGGAAATTAAGAAAAAGAGAATTCAGTGAAGAAAATTTTCTTTTCGCCGAAATCATTTACTTAAGCTGTACATTCGTATATATAGTGATATGGAAAATATATGTCTACAGGAGGCTAGGAAAGATTGCATTATAAATGGATTCGACAATAAATAACAAATGATAGGGAAATTAAATGGTGTTTGACTATACGACAACTATTACAAATTGTTTTTAGTTATAACACAAAAATCTATATTTCAACGTGAGTATATTATCAAAGAATATATGATGTGTGTATTCAATTTTCAATGATGCAAAAGAAAATAAACTATTTTGTTGTTTCATCAATAATACACGGAACATTTGGGTCAAATTTTAACTTATTAAACATGATTGTAGTTACCTTTTGTCTCATTAAATATCATTGTCTGCATTTCAATACATACGAATAAATTATATATACATAAATGAACGTTAGATGTTTCTATATAATCAAATCAACATATCATAGTTGAAAGCGTGAGTCAATTGAAGCTAGACCACCATGGAAAATCTTAAAACACTGGACGGTTGTTTCGTCCTATTATGGGACTCCTCAGCAGTGCGCATCCACGAACCCGCTCTCGCGAGATTCGTAATCAGGACCTACCAGTTTCGAGCCGAAGCCCTTAACCGATAGACCACTGAGCTGGCATCCAACGGTGTTAATGTCTAACTTCAACTGATTCACGAAATTGAGCAACCATTCACCAATGTCATCAGTGAGTTCCTATCTCACAACAGACCTGGTTGAACTCCACCGGTTACTGCTTCTCACTAGAACTCCAGGAAATACCTCAAGCAGTCAGTCACTAGTGAGCATATGATTATATTAATTATCAGAAGGGGTTTTGTGGAGATTTAGTATTTATCATAGTTGGTCTATGGTGGTCTAGCTTCAATTGACTCACGCTTTCAACTATGATAAATACTAAATCTCCACAAAACCCCTTCTGAAAAATCGATATATCACTAAGTTTTATCTAACGAACTGATAACCTTTGATATTGTATGATTGAGAATGTCCAAAATTATGATCATAATATTTTATGCTTCCTAAATATTTGGATTATGTGATTATTTTTCTATTTAGATGAGTAAATGACTATGTGATATGACGATGGAAAACACATTGGCAAGTCATCAGAAGGGGATTTTGTAAAGATTTTAGTAATTAAATATAGTTGAGATCATGAATCAATTGTAGCGCGAGCACTTAACCGATAGATCGATAGACCGTTGGATGTCGGTTCAGTGGTCTATTGGTTAAGTGCTCGCGCGCGAGACTAATAGGTCCTGGGTTCAAATCTCGTGAGGCGGAATTGTGGATGCGCACTGCAGAAGAGTCCCACAATATGACAAAGCGGCCTTCCAGTTCTTTCAGGTTTTTTCATGGTGTTCTAGCTCCAATCGACTCATGATCTCAACTATATGAAAAACCACTGGCAAGTTGTACAACTTTTGTTATTGATATTTCATAGCAGTACAATACAAAGCATATTAATTATATTCATATTTCATGGTTAATAATGTAGCGTACTCTTAAAATCGATGGAGTTTAACCAAAGTCGAATAATCGTATTTATAGTGATTTAATGAATACTATGTATATTTATGTCTGATTCAAATACATATCTATTGGCTGTTTTTAATAGGAACTTCAACCACCCTATGTTGAAAAACACTAATGTACGATAGTTCCTAAATTAAACAATGACTACCTGCCGTAGTATATTTATTTATAGAGAGAGAGAGAGGGATTTTGAAATCAGCTGATACTTGATAAGTCAACAATACAATAAATAATTCAGAACAATCATGTGTCCAGGAATAGCTTTATTTTCGAAAAGTATTCCTGAACGTTTCAGTGATAGATTGTAACCTGTGATGAAGACGAAGTCGTTATCAATCGATGACAGTCGATGATGAACATGTTATAAGTGACCGCAACTCTAAACTGGAAAATTATCGTCTGTCCTTTTGATGGTTGAGTGATAGTTTTCTAGCTGTGAGATCTAAATGTCTCAAATCCAATCACTAGTCCTTGGGGAGTTCCAACCTACGAGGAAAAACACCTTTTACCATTCAAAATAGTTCGTCAAGTATTGTCACTTAGTGACAATACGTGGAAACGTGGAACACACTAAACACGGTTTCACCAAAACGTTGAATTGTTCAGACATATATATCTATATCTATATCTATATCTATATCTATATCTATATCTATATATATATATATATATATATATATATATATATATATATATATATATCTATATATATATATATATATATATATATATATATATATATGTAATTCGTTATTACTTTACTGAGAAAATGTAGTGATATTTAATTAACAGTCAATTCCAATGAGATTTGAATAAATTTTCTATAAAAGCATTAGCTTAAATGACGAAATAGTTGTATCATCGTTGTAAACTAAGAAACTGTACACAGATAATGTTATATCCTGGTGAAGACATAAGTAAGGTTAACTCCCATGATCTATTAATGGAGGATTATTCTATATATATATTCTTATTGTTTAACTATTGAGTGATTAGATTATGTACATCTATATTCATCTTATCATAAGCTTCATTTAGACGTATGGATTATTAATTATTGGAAAGGCTAGGCGGACAAATGACCAATAAGGATGCTATACTGCTCATACTGGTCGAACGTCATTAATTGGCACAGTGTTAAGATAGGAAAAGTCGTATTTCTATTGGTGAATAAGTCACGTGATAAAAATCCGGACATGACCACAACAAATTGGCATACGGTCTTGTTCTTTCTTTTAAAAGTCACAACAGATAACGTCAAACTATTATGATAAACAACTAATTAATTGATTCATGAAAACGTGAACGAAATATTTGAAAGAGATATACGTGTCCGGTCGACAATTTATTTAATTGATTGTTTTATTATATACAAAGAGAATAATATGACTGGTTATTATGGTCAACAATTTTAGAATGTATCTCTTATATATATTTCTAATTATCCAACTATTGTAATTTTTTCCCAATGCTAGCTGACATAGGAGTAAGTGGGGAAACATGTAGTAACGGAAGGAACGAATCAATAACGAATAATTAAAGTCATGGATTCCTGATCTGAGGCATTATGGAAGGTAAGCTTGTTGTTTGCAGTCAAGTGTATGAACGGAGAAGTTGGGTGACTCAGACCAGAAACAATAACACAGGGACAACTGTACTCATAGTCAACAGAAATAGCTAAACAATAAGTGTCATTCTTCAGTCTTATTTCCTTCTTTTGAATAGTATTTTTCAACCACCTATACTGAAATTAATCATGCGCTCACTAGAGGCTAGTTTTCAGATTCAACTCCTAGAGCTTTAGTGAGAAGCTATGACCAGTGAAGTCCAACTTTGTCGGGTGTGAAAGAGTTGTATAACGCAGAAGATGTAATGTTGTTGCAAAATATTGTGGACTGACTGAAGTTTGACTTCTACATCCTTAAAGAGAATAAGCATTAGTGCGCCAAACTGAGATTCCTGGATCATAATCCCTGTGATGCAGTCATGAATGTGCACTGCCTAGGAGTCTCATATGAAGAAGAAACAACTGCATCGTGCTTCCTGGTTCTCAAGGGTGGTCCAACTAAAATCAGTTCGTGATTTAAGCCATAAATATAGGCATTAATCTTAACAGAACGAACGATACACCATCACAGAGAAAACAATTAATAAACGTTTTTACTAACTAATTTGTCAGTTAATAAATAGCTTCCAACAATGGGACGAAACAGCCGTCCAGTGCTTTCAAGTTTTCAGTGGTGGTCTAGCTTCAATTGACTAATGATCTCAACTACTTTTTGTTTGTGCAAATAATTTGTCAATAAATAATGATTAAAAATTATACACTACAACACAAAACAAATACAGAATGAATTGACATGTCCTACATGAAAGAATATATTGAGAAATTTCTATGATCATACATTAGTATGATATAGTCACTTATAAATACCTATAACACAAGTCCAATAAAAATACACTTAACAAAATCTGCGAAATAAATAGATAAACACACCTCTGGTTGTAATTTAATATCCGGATGTATAATAGTTGACGGTAAACGAAGTGCTGCAGTTGATGAACGATTCGGTCGATTATCTGCAACTGTCGCTGTTAATATCGGTAAATTAATACTCAATTTATGACTGATCGGTAATTGTTTTGATGATAGCACTGACGAGTCAAAAACTTGACGAACTGGACCAGTATAGAAAAAATCTTTTTTATATTGTGGTCTTGACATTTCTTTACGAATAATTAATTGAATATCAGCTTTTATTTCATCATCTAATAAATCGGCGCCAGCAATATTACCATTATTATTATGAGGATCTACTACACCGATTGATGTAAAATGAGAAGTTAAACTAGCTTCGGATGTAGTACGTTTTAAACTAACAGTCTAAAATGTAAAGCAATATTATTCATAAAGAATGATGAAGATAAAGCAGACATTAACTGAGAGAGCAAAGCAACTATAATGCAGTGGTGATTAACTTCCTCTAGACGTTTTTTAATCCTGTCGAAAGCACACACTAAAAACAACGAAACAATCTACCACTAGCATATGAAGAGTTCCTAAGGAAAATTAATTAGGATGATATTTATTGCTGAATCCAAAACAAAAAACTAGTGGGTAGTCCGAAGAATTAATATTACTTTACGACTAATTTCATTTTGCACAGATAGTTCCTTATTAATAGAACATATTTTTGTATTGATTAAAAGGCGTGAAAATTATATTAAGGTCATTTTTGTCTCTATATTTGAAATTTAACTGTCACAATTGGGAGATTTCGAATTCAATCACGTATGAACTACTTCCACTGAGTATTCTGGAGAAGATAGAATATCTGCCTCATGTTTTCAGGACTTTTAGAAATCCAACAGATGATATAAAGCACTGAAAAAAACGATCTTTATGGAAGATGAAACATTATTACACTCTTTAATGAACATCCGAACTGAGTCAATAAAGCTGTTCAAATATGGATTACCATGGTCTTTGTCTGTCGGTAAAAACATTGAATATATCAGGTCTTGAATTCTTTTTGCCTTCGGATTCATTGATTAGATGATTTTTTATTCAATGAGTTCATAAAAGTCATCTTTGCACGCTATTCTAAATTTAAAAAAATGGGCGTAATAAAGCAGTGTGTGACATTTCTGCCAAAGTTGATATTTTACGAAAAGCAGTGAATTACTGGAAAATCATTCTACGAGCCCTATACCAATCTAGAATCAAAGAGCCAGTCAAACAGCCTGACTAATGAGGATATTCCACAAAAATAGGACAAGTTTATCGCTACCAATGTGGAGTATTATGAAGGGGGTTAAGATTTGTAGATGTGAAATTTGGGAAAATAAATTTTAATGATCTTATTCGGTGTGTTTTTCGGAAAAGCAATAATGATATATCTAAAAAATACGGTTAAGCAAACAAGTAAAAAAACAAACCTCAGAAACAGAACGAATCGGATGTGTCCTTGTTGGAACGGGATCACGTCCTGTTGTTGATGGTGGTGGTGGGTTAGTAGTACCACTTAGAAAAGCCGGTGAATTCATCATCGATGTATTAACAGGAATCATTTGATTACTATCAGAAGGTATGGGGGCATTTTTAGATCCTGTAAATCCACTACCATCTAAATGCACTGAATTTTCTCCGATTCCTGATGCCAATTGAACAGTGGCAGTATCATAATTAGGTATAATCACGGTGCTCTGTATGAATACAAATACAGGACACGACATTATTAAGATTTAAAATAAGAGCATTTTTATTTGCTTTTTCCATGTGGAATCAAATACTTCTAGACAATTTTAACAGTGTAATTAAATTTGTACTTACACTGACCAACACTGTTACACCAGCTGAAAACGCTGGTGGGTATCTGCACTCACTAGCTGAATGAATAACGCACTGGTGTATACGGTGATGAAGTTCGATCTTCAGTATGAAAATCAACACCAAGTACATGAAGGTTCATACAACTTACGAGCCCAAAGTAGGACAAAACACGTGTATCGGATTCCTAATTTAGCCAAAAGATAAATATTATTAAAACTAATGACAAAAGTTTATATCAAGACAATCTGATCGAGATATACAAATGACAAAAAACACTGGTCAACTGAAGCGCTAAACATAAGCAAAGACAGGATTTAAAGCCCTTTGTCATGTGTTTTATCACAAGAAGAGAATAGTATGTTTGTTTATAATTGAAAAAAAATATATGTATAAATTTCAAGAATTCCAGAAATCGGAAATCATGTATACAAATGGGAAAAAAAGACGACAGAAAACGCAAGGAACGAAATCTACCACAATTAGCAAGTCTGAGGATTTCGTTTAATTTAATTATCTGTATTAAAAAAGAGACAGTATTCACATATTCAGTTTAATTGATTATAAACAACATCAAATGTAAACTCTACGTCAGATTATTATTGAAGTGATAGTGAATGTGATTTGGATGCTTCAGTGTTAAATTAAAATAAAAATAACACTTTTAAGTAAGATAAAGTATAAGTATACTCTGTATTGGATTTGAATATATACCATATTCTACCGTCTATTTGTTGATAAATTTCGATTTTAATAAAATACTGAGTATATGGAAATGTAGTTTGAAATTATTTATGAATAGGAGTTTAGTATTATATACATAGTGAATAATAAACTTCACCTGTAGCTCTTCTAGGGTTACTGTGGATCGTAAGATCAGGTAAAAGAGGAGGGTCGGGTATGCGATCAGCAACCACCATCCTGTACAAAACACCATTACTAAACATACGCCAACCAAAATAGACAATTTAAACCATTTAAACTCTGCCCATATAAGTTGAAGGATTTTCATTCAGAAGAACTAAGACGACTCGTAGTGAAAGACGAGATTCTTCGGAAGTCACGAAGCCGATGACCCTTCTAACAAACAGAACAACAATTGATATAGTTGGACAACTGAATAAACAGCATTACGAAAGTTCAAACAACCCTCTTTTGAGATACTCACAAACTCAGCTAATTCAAAACAACTCTCAACAGCAAGTTCGAAATATTACAAGATCTACTCAAAGGAGAAGAAACTACGGTGGAGGAAAATGGGAAAGAGATAAAAGAAGCACTAAATTCAAAGTGTCAAGACTGCAACAAGCCTTATCATATAGAATGGATCATTATCGAAACCCTGGACAAGATTGTAGGAAGGAAAAGCAGAAAGACAGCAATTAACAACAATCGAACATTAACAGAGAAAGGCAAGGCACAAGCTGAATACACGGAAGCAAAAAAAACAAGTGAAATGGAGCTTCAGAGCTGGCAAAAAGAAATACATCCAATACCTAACAACAGCAGTGGAAAAAGCTGCAACAGATGGAAATATCAAACAACTATATGACACGACAAAGAAACTGGTAAGGAAATATAATAAACCAGAGAGACTGATCAAAGACAAACAAGGCAAACCAATCACTGAGATTCAAGAGTAAAGGAACAAGTAAGTAGAACACTTTGAGGGACTATTGAATAGGCCAGCTCCATTGAATCCATTGAACATCAAAGCAGCACACACAGGCTTTCCTATAGATTTCAATCGACCAGTGGTCGAGGAAATCAAGATGGCTATCAGAAAAATCAAGAAAAGGGAAATCAGAAGCACCGGGTAATATATCAGCTGAAGCATTGAAGTAAGATAAAGGAGTAACTTCAAACATGCTCCTCATTCTATTCAGGAAGATATGAGAGGAAGAACAGATGCCATTTACAGACTGGAAACAAGGATATTTCATCAAAGTATAAAAGAAAGGAGATCTGAACAAATGTGAAAACTACAGAAGCATCACACTATTATTGGTACCAGGAAAATTTTTCAACACAGTGCTGCTGAACCGGATGAAAAATTCAGTAAACGCTCAGCTTCGAGACCAACAGGCTGGATTTCGTAAGGATCAGTTGTGCACAGACCAAATCGCGACACCACGGGCCATTGTTGACCAATCAATTGAATGGAACTCTTCACTATACATCAACTTCCTTGATTATGAGACAGTATTTGACAGTGAGGTTTGGGGAGCCTTATCAAACCTCCTTCGACACTCTGGTGTAGCTAAGATCGTCAACATCATACGGAATTCATACGACGGACCACACTCTAAAGTGGAGAACAGCTGCCAGACGCAATCTAAGTGGTTATATTTTGAAGGGAAAAAGGAAAGAGGAAGGCCGAGGAATACACTACACCAAGGATTGGAAGCAGACATGAAAAGAATGAATAACATCTGGAAACAACTGGAAAGGATTGTCCAGCAAATAGTTTGATGGAGAATGTTGGTTGGCGACTCAGACTTCATGAGGGGTGACAGGCTCAATTAAGTAAGTGAATATTAGTTGTTATGGTTCATTTGGACCTCCCAATCGATATTGGCCCACCAACAATTGAAGAGATCAGCATGGCCATTAGACAAGTCAAGAGTGGCAAAGCAGCGGGACCAGACAACATTCCGGCAGAGGCACTGAAAGCAAATGTAACAGCAACTGCCAAGATACTCCACATCCTCTTCGGTAAGATTTGGGACGAAGAACAAATACCAACAGACTTGAAAAAAGGACTTCTGATCAAGATACCAAAGAAAGGCGATCTGAGCAAGTGCGACAACTACAGGGGTATCACTCTTCTCTCAATACCAGGAAAAGTCTTCAACCGAGTATTGTTAAACAGAATGAAGGATTCCGTGGACGCCCAACTTCGAGATCAACAAGCTAGATTTCGTAAGGATAGATCGTGCACAGATCAAATCGCAACTCTGCGGATCATTGTGGAACAATCAATCGAATGGAATTCATCACTCTACATCAACTTCATCGACTACGAGAAGGCATTTGATAGCGTGGACAGGACGACACTATGGAAGCTTCTTCGACACTACGGCGTGCCTGAGAAGATAGTAAATATCATACGGAACTCCTATGATGGACTAAACTGCCAAATCGTCCACGGAGGACAACTCACCGACTCGTTTCAAGTAAAGACCGGTGTTAGGCAAGGTTGCTTACTCTCACCCTTACTCTTTCTCCTGGTCATCGACTGGATTATGAAGACGTCAACATCTAGAGGAAATCACGGGATACAGTGGACAGGCAGGATGCAGCTTGACGATTTAGACTTCGCGGATGATCTGGCTCTTCTATCACAAACGCAACAACAAATGCAGGAGAAAACGACCAGTGTAGCAGCAGCCTCAGCAGCAGTAGGTCTCAATATAAACAAAGAGAAAAGCAAGACTCTCCGATACAATACAATATGCACCAATCAAATTACACTTGACGGAGAAGCTTTGGAGGATGTGGAAACCTTTACATATCTGGGCAGCATCATTGATGAACACGGTGGATCAGATGCAGATGTGAGGGCGCGGATCGGCAAAGCAATAGCAGCATATCTACAACTGAAAAGCATCTGGAGCTCAAAACAATTGTCAACCAACACCAAGGTTAGAATTTTCAATACAAATGTGAAGACAGTTCTACTGTATGGGGAGGAGATGTGGAGAAATACGAAAGCCATTATCCAGAAGATACAAGTGTTCATCAACAGCTGTCTACGCAAAATACTTCGGATCCGATGGCCAGACACTATCAGCAATAAGTTACTGTGGGAGACAACAAACGAGATTCCAGCGGAGGAAGAAATCAGGAGAAAGCGCTGGAAGTGGATTGGGCACACCTTGAGGAAATCAACTAATTGCGTCACAAGACAAGCCCTCACATGGAATACTGAAGGTCAAAGGAGAAGAGGAAGACCAAAGAACACATTACGCCGAGAAATAGAGAGACATGAGAAGAATGAACAAGAACTGGATAGAACTAGAAAAGGAAGCCCAGGACAGAGTGGGTTGGAGAAAGCTGGTCGGCGGCCTATGCTCCATTGGGAGTAACAGGCGTAAGTAAGTAAGTAAGTATGGTTCATTTGACATGGTACATTGTTAGATGTGATTTAGTAGAACTGATTATTGGTTCACTATAATATGTTAACACATGAGCCAATAGAATTTCAAGGGATTCAGTCAATGGTCCTAGTGACTGTTAGAGAGATTTCTTACTATTACTTATGTACTAAATTTCTAATCATATAAATATGACGTACTGAGAACAAGTAATTATTTGGAGATATAAGTAACAGTTACAAGGTATAGACTAGTGGAAAGAGACTTCAAGAAAGATGAACAAATGAGTTGAAGGATAATAGAACTCAATCCCACTAGGTGGACCCTGTGTATCCATCTTATGTCATCTAGTTTTTGTAAATACATCATCGTCACCACGTGCTGTCAGTGAGTAGGAGTTCCATGGAAGAGTCTATAAACCAGAGACCGTACGATCTCTTCGGGAAGGAGGTAGAGTACTCTCCACCCTCGATCGTACTAAGGCATTTGGTGACCAATAATCCTTCATATCTACCACATACAACTAGTCACCGTGGAGACACACGTTTAATGATTTCGAACCGGACCAGATTTTAAGATTTACTGAACAGAATCCTGATACCTAAATGATTCAAAACGATATAATGTGTTAAAGCGATAACTATCCACGAAACCGAATTGTTGTTAACGTACGTTCTAGGTAGAATAAATTTCTTCTCAAACTTAATAACATTCTTATGAACAAAATATTAGATACATAATTAAGCACGATTAAATGTTTTCATCAGCAATTGAGAAATAAGAGGTTCGTAAGAGAGTCATTCCACTCAATTAATTCAGACTTAATTATCAGACATATTTCTTTCTTGAAACACCAATAACTTAGGATTTTCTTCAATCATTAAAATACTGTTGACTAAAAAAGTAGATAAATATTTTGTTTACATAGATTTTTAAATCACAAACCGATCTGAATTAGACCACACTCTTTGTCTGCTCTTAAACTGTGAGATTAAAATTGTTTTAAACCTTTATTTCTACGAACTAATTCTTTTTTCCTGTATTATATATATCTTTATACACAATCTTTCTTTTACATATTACTGCTATTGAAGTAACTACTTCTCTGAATTTGGTGTTTATCCCGTGCCAATGAGGTGTGGCAACTTGGACCGATGTATATATGTGCCTGGTCCTATGCTGTAGCTGACTGACTAACAAGATTAATGAATGGAATGGATTTTGAACATGAGACCTCAATGTTTGTGGGTCGAGTAAACTAATCAATAATTCATTGGTTCCTACTTTATACACATACAAGTGATAAACAAAATCATTGTTCCAGCATCTAGTTTTCAAATGGAATGGAATAAAATGTGAATGTTTATCATTAAAGGTCACCATGAATTGAATATTTAAAATACAATACGTCGAATGAATGTGTTAGTTATCAATATAATTCAAATACATAGATATATATGTATGATGAAAAGAATAGTTATACCAAAATTTTAACCTTGACCGATGTGTACAATGATAATAAGTATTTATTTTCATTTCTCTCTGCATAGATTATTAGCAGAAAAATATCTGGTCTCTGGACACAATTAGTCCATACATTTGTACAAATGATGCATATATATGATTCTGATAATAGTGCTTTTATTACATAACAAGTCAGTGTTAATTGTGACGAACATTCCAAAAAAAGCATTCCAGGCAAAGAGCAAACGTTAGAGCAGAATTAGCACAAGTTACTATACTGAACAGTATCAACAAAAAATTCTATGTATGTTAGTTAAGGTTGGTCTTAGGTAGACAACCATTGAACGAACCAAGGAACATTGAATATCGATTTTAAAACTCTTCAGAAGGATCGAGAAGCAAAGACTCCATCACAGAAAAAAATCATGATTGCTGAGTTTCCTGACAGGCGCGTTACCCTTAAATTTATCAATTTCGTACCCATTACTAGATCTAGCTAATTTAGAATCTAGTACAACTGTCACTGATGGCAATACGTATATTACTGTCTTATACAAATGGGAAAAAAATGTACCGAAAATCAACTCACTAGGTGATTTTGTGATACGTGAACAACGTTTAGAATAATCAAGTATAACCTAAAAAAGTTCCCAATGCTCATAAGCTCTTAAACGGTAAATAAACATTTTGCCTAAGTCAAACATGGAATGATTTAAAAAGATTCAAGAGAACAGCTTTGATTAAATCCAATTTTTCATCAATCATCAATCATGCCAGTGCAGATGCTAACACTTTTAAAATAAGTCACTAAATTGTTCCGTTAGCAGTTAGGACTAGGTATAGAAGTTTACCAGTTATGAAATACACAATATTCCTATTTATTTTGAGGAAAAAAACCCAATTTAAAGCATGTTAAAAGTGTGAATTTTTTCTGAAACTATAAAAACATATGAGCGCTAGATGCCAAATCACAAAAAAAACAAAGACTAATCTAAAAAGGGATTCCGTATCGATTGTTTCTAACTGATATCTATCATTTAATTATGATTAGTTGAAGAAAAAAAACAACCCCAATCGAAAGATAAAGACATGGAAGGATAAGGTAAACAAGTTTGGTAATTAAACTGTGCATGTGTGTAGTGATAAGTAACACTTTTTTTTCAAAGAAATAACAATTCACAGTTATAGATTTCAATAAACAATCTTAATGAACAGTTTTGAAAGAAGAAAAATATACAACCAACAATAAACACCAATCAGCAGATTGTTGTTTACATTCCAAGTGAAATAAATTATTTGTCATTGAATTTATTCCTTTACATTTCAGTGATGTTATGTTATTTCAATTTTTTTGTGTGCGGATACTTTTATTACAGAACTAAAATCAGGATTGCAAATTTCGTCTCTATTTGGGTTCATCATATGGATGTATTCAGACTTTAATTTTGCTTGTTAAGGCCTCTCCCTACTTTACTTGTGTTTCGCAAACAAAATGCATCATGACGACCAAGATGATAATGAGGCATTGTTTATGCATAACATTGAACGACGAGTCCTATTGGTAAGAAATTCTAAAGAAAATCAAGATACTGTTGAATCCAAAATTGAACCACAAATAATGTCTCGACGATACTTGTGAAACGGTTTATTTTTTATATTTACCTTCATTAACAACCAAATGATATTATCAGTCAAGAAGTTATATCAACGTAGGTACGAATAAGCATCAATTCGAGTTGCTACAATACACATATATCAAAACATTATTATTAATGGCTTTATATTTTGGTACAATATAGAATTCTTAACACGACGTATTTCAACATGAAAAGTATGTCAAGTAAAATTAGTCACTTCACTTATCTTTCAAACAATTTGAACAATCAAGCCACGATAATATTATGATTGTAAATCATAACGAAAGATCTGTGGGGAAAAAAAAACAATTTCAATAACTTACCAATTTCGATATAACTGATGGTGAACGAACAAAGGTATCCGCTGGTGTTGACTGGTCATTACCATAGTTCATACTATTATTATTGATGAGATTTGCTACAGACGAGAGTTTAGACTGTTGTTGTTGTAAACTAAGAGATACTTGAGATTGTATGTATTCTTGTACAATTTGAGGTAAACTCACTCGTAACTATATAGAAAAAACAATTTGATTGCGTAATATATATATATATATATATATATATATATATCGTAGGTTTAGCAATAAGATAAATGACATACAAGAGAAAAAAACACCCGACAAGAAATGTATTAAATTAACTTATATACATAACAGGCTTGAAATTGACTCTGACAAATTTCGTAAAAATAAATTCAAGAATCAACATTGTATGCTATCCTAAATGGGATCGACCAACTGACGAAGCTGTTGATATTAGTTTTTTCGAAGAATTCTAGAATTTCAAACCTGTACACAAACCAGGGGCTACTTGAATTCAGTAACCACGTGTATATGGTGTTTGAAGAGAAAGGTATTGGGTTAGAGTCTTGGAGTGAACAACGAATCTGAAATGAAAGTACACCTCAGCTGACGAGTGCCTAACAGGTTGGAACGTGTGTCCGAGATCCTACTGCTACCCACCATCCATCCCCTGCTTTAAATCTTGTAACTTAGTGACAATATCCAGGCTATCTGCACAGGATGCACATATGGCAATAAAATATTCGTCAATTGCAGTCCTAAAACATAAACGTTGAGATTCTAAAAGCAACCAATACAAAAGCTAGTGGCTATCTGGACTCAGAAATTAAGTGAATAAACCGATTATGTTTGAGAGAGAGGGAGAATCCGACTGAAATACCTTTAAGAATTCATTGCATATTTTATAAACTTTATTCAAATCTTCCCTTAGTATCAATTGATTAAAAAGAGGGAAGGAATCTGTCAACGATAATTTTATACAATTTAATACAGTTGCTATGGTTACAGGAATGTAACGACTACTAGGCAAAGCAGTTGGAAAATAAGAATTTTTATTCATCAATAACATCAATAAATAAATCAGAAAAGATTTATTGACAAAATGGAATAGGGAAGTCGAAATAAAAAGCACTATGAAACTAATTCATAGTGAAAATTTGTAAAAAAAAAGGTGGAGTACTGTTGAAAATCAGCAAGTGTTAAATAGCTGTTACATATTCGTTTTCCGAAATCCTCTGTAGTGTGCACTGATGACCTTGTTTTATTAGTAGGATCACTCTTTCTGCATGCAAAGGTCAGGTTGAAAACCCGTGATGGTAATGGTTTCTAAAAAACGGATTTGTGTACGTTACCCATTAATTATTTTGAATGATTTTGAGAAATCCACGTTTTGTTTACTATCTATTAAATGTTGAGTAGTCTCACTTGAGACAACTTACAGGGAATATGTTCCGAAAACTTTATAGACCGCATTTTCAGTCCTTTCTATGTACTTGCATTCACAAGTACATGTAAATCCGTAAGCACGTTTACAGGTGACCTCAGAAAGGTATTGATTCATTTTTGATTGATTTAAGGAACATCTGGTGTAATACACCGAAAATAGTTGAGGAGCAAGGAAGCATATCTTAAGCGCTGGTTTAACCCTTTTATCGATCCTGCCTGAAATCTTTTCACCTTTGAACGCAAGCTGGATGAAGATAGGTTTTCTGTGAACAGTTGTTTGCTAAGAACTTTTCTTAATCTTTTCTCCGTGCTTCACAATAAATTTCTTCGGATATCCATTTTTATGAGCCACTCCTCAATGCACACTATTCCTTCCTGTATTTGTCGGTCGAACACAACCTGCTGGCATTATTAAATAGGATTTAGACCAAACAGGATGAAAATCACTATTATTTGAGAGTATTTTGAAACAGTTCAAAACAATAGATAAAAGTTAATTGGGACTCATTGGATATGATGAAAAAGCATATCGGTCCATCACTGATAATTTTTGAGTATCAATTTTGCTTAACCATTTCCCCCTCTTGATTTTTCATATATATTATAAAATGGGCTACAGATGGTCAGATTATATGGAGTGAATATTTTTCTGGTGCATAAATGACAGTTTTGATTCTCTTATAATATGTTCACTCTGTTGATCAATGGTTTTTTTACCTGATGATAACTAAACGTATTAGTGTTGGAGGTTCGATTTATAGCAACTCTCCTACAATCAATTTCGATGCCTAAATTTTGTTAAGCACTTTTATTAACTTACTTAAGAGACAATGTTAATCGAACACTAACAATCCGCATATTTTTTTGTATTATTATGATTACTATCATATCAGTATAAACGTGTACTCTGGATCACAGACAGCCTACGCACATATCTCTAGCTAAAATGTTAGTATCTTAAATATCGTTCAATAAATCCTTCTCTTCCTCATGTATATATGTACTCCAATCCTACTATTAGCCTTTGCTTTTTTCCCTTGCTCGACTTGTCTATAAATTTGCCTCTCTGCTTCACATTCGCTCGATGTGATTGTAGCTTGGTGATCTGTGCTATCCGCTAGTAAACTAAAGTTACCGCTTCTTATTGCCTTCTGATTTCAAACACCGTTGAGATTTATATTATAACGGTCATCGAGGTGATTGATTAACGAAGCAAAGCCACTACAGATTCCATGAGAAAATTTATACGTCCAACCAGTTAAGTTATTTCAAAATTTTACAAGTGTCTATAGAGCTTTCATGCCAGTCCCATGCTAGTTACTATCATTAATCTATAAGATTAAAATATCGAAAAACGTTGGAAAATTTTAATAAACTTTATCAATGAATGTTAATAAGTATTAACTTTTAATTGAACAAAAATTCTTGTTAAATCGTTCCAATTATATGACATAATTCACTACATGTAACCCAATAATTAAATGTACATTCATAAACTTATGTTTGATAAAAGAGCAAGCAGTTCTACTTAATCGGACAGAGGCAGAGTAGGAGTCGAACTTATGACACAGTAATCGAAAGTCGAGTGAACAAAGCATTAGATCAAATATATGTAAATCATACAGATCGATTCAATGAGCTTTAAAATATGACATACAAAATGATATTGATCAAAATTTATCAAATGAACTAGTGTACAGTTTTGGTGTATATTCAAAGACTGAAGATCAATCTAGTAGTAGGCTTTGAGTAAAGCTTTCCGTTTTATGTAAGCATAAATGATATTGTCAGTTTATGTAAAATACATGAAATAGCTTGCTCCTAACCTAGCAAAGTTAGATGGTGGATGGAAGACGTCCGTGTTGATAGACTATTGTAAGTAAGCAAATTATTACTCTAGATAACTTCAGGTCTGAATTAGTTCAGCAAATCAGATATTCTTATACGATTGGTAGATTATTATTAGAAAGTTGTACGAAGTCCAAGCCAACTTGACAGTTGTTTTAAATTATTAATAAGCAATAACAATATTTTTATCAATTTAATAGTAACACTCTAACAACCGCAAATTTAAACAACTTGATACAATCTTGATAATCAGAATACATCATGTGTGGCACACGGCAGTACACAAACACACACAATTATGTATCACTCTAAACGATCGTGAAAGTGAATGAAAAACTAACTTTTTGGCGTGATTATCTTGTTAATGAATAATTTGCATTTCTTAAAAATACATAAAATGAGTGCAAACAATAGTTTATAATAAATGAAATTTTGAAGATAATATAGACAACTACAATTTATGTTGAATAATATGATTGAGATCATTAATTATCATGTAGACAATCAGTGTGCGTTCCCTAATTTTCAATAGTTATCAAGTTGAAGTCAAACAGTGAGTGATATAACTTAATCTTTTAAATAATATAATTATATGCTCCGAACTCAACTACTCGTTTACCAGGTGTGGATTTGTGCATTCGCATGTATAAGGCACACTTTCTAAGTGTTATAGCCTAATGATATTATTTCGTTTGGCAAACTTAAGTAGGTGGAGGGAGGTTCGAATTCGCAGCATAGTAGTTGGAAGTCAAACACTTAATCTATTGAACAAAATATGTGAGATTAGTTCCTAAGTTTATTAAATGTTGATCTGAGCTATGTTGGACAGATGACGAATATTTGGTTGAAGTCTGAGAGATAACAGATTAGTGATTGGAGACATAATGTAGCATCTCTGACAGTTGATTATCATAGTGCACATCTACTAACTCTTTAGCTTCTCCTAGATATTGAGCTACAACACCCCTTCATTCCTGCCATTCTACTCTAACTATGTTCTCGATGGTTAGTCATTGCTATCATATGATTTCCGTATCTTTTACCATTTTAATGTTGAATGGCAAATTAGGCTTATGCACATCTGTTCAAGGCACTAATTTGGTGATGACTAACTTTTGAGAAAGACTGAACATTGAAAATACATTTCGAAAAGACAAAGTAGAAAAGTATGTATGAAGGAATACTGGAATTCGAGATCTAGAAGAAGATAAAGTGTGAATTATATTTGCCTATTAAACTACAATTGTAGAGAAATCACTATCAGTCATTATTTAGTTCCACCCACATACGCAAAAGATCTTTCAAAGATACCAAGGACTAAAAACTAACAACCTAAGAATATCATCTAATTTCAGTATATTTTTATATTCATTAAACAATACATAGTTGGATATTGCACAATTTGTAATTGATGAGTAAATAAATATTTTAGTTAAGTTATATATGATGTATGATGACAGTTATCAGAAGAAAATTTATATAACCTATAAAACTAGTGAATCACAGTAGATGAGTAAAGCACATAATTTGTAAAATAATAAACTTTTCAAGCATTATTCTCAGTAACAACGATCACAACAATATTTCGATAAACAATAAATAAACATAACATCGACAATCCATAAAAAAACGAAACATAAGCTTACTTACACCAGTTCGACTACCAAGTGCTGAAGTCCCGCCTGATGTAGGTACAACAACACCGGTATTATTATTATTATTACTATTGATATTAACGCTATTGACAATCGATAATTTCGGTGCGATAGTATTACTTAATTTTGCTTCAATTTTACGTGTAACATTATCAGATATTCTTTGTATTGTAGTAGGATCACATAATGATTTATCTTGATTAATTATTTTCGATGCAGCTATTAATTCATTATCTCTTGTTATAACCATACCATCTAAACTGCCAACAGATATAGTACGTTGACGCCGTTTCTCTTCAATAATACGTTGCATTATTGATCCACTAGTAATAATAATAAATACCAATAATAACACAGTAAATGCATGATACACCAATAGTATGAGCAGGGAAGGAACGATAAAACAAAGTAGAGGAAACTGAGTTACATAATTTATAGTAAGGAGAGAGTAAATGAGTTCCATATTATTATTAATGCTTAAAACGATTATGGATAAGCATGATATTCATTAAATTAAAAAATAATCAATGCTAAGTAAGAATGCAATATGTGAATAACTGTACATAGGAGGGACGTAATCACAGTTAGTTTATTCATCCTTTTCTTGATTAATTAAAAGCCTTTCTCTTGGATGAATCAATCATAATTAGACGAAAGATCTAACAGGATTATCTTCATTGGTCTCAGTAGTCACAGTCAGAAAGGCAACAGACAATATGATAAGTGAAGGAGAAGAATTAATGTGAGCTTCAATGAAAATGTGAACATGACAAACACAGTTTAAAAGAATTAATAAGATCGCAAATGGAAAGTAATGAATTAATACAAGTGTTTCACTATTCTTGATTTCCCACTATACGATTAACGCATTTCTAAACGCAGATTATGACTATTGCACAGGGCTAAATTGGAAAGTTTGTCCTTTCTGAAATGACTGAGTTTAGATCTCGTTGGGAAATAACGCATCTTTACCCCTTACATTTTATGTCAGCGAGCTTTGGAAATTCGAGTAAACGATGAGTAGGCACGTATAAAACGTCTTAATCAATTTGGTCGATGAATCTTGCACCTTGTTTTATTGGATCGCTGACTGAGTCAACTTGAAGTTACGACAAATCGGAATTATCATAAGAAAAACGGTGCAGAAATGATCTAGTGGTTTAAGTATTTCACTTTCGATCAATGGATTTTAGAATCACAACCTGAGGTTCAACACCTAAGTCACACTTTAAAAAGCTGAAGTGTACCACTTGCTATTTTACAATATATGTGACTAAAAGCTAAATAGCATACTGTGTTAAAAATCGATATGAATTAATAGTACTAGAAATAAATGATCTGAGATAGAGAGGTAGAAAGTAAATGATTGAAAATCGTAGCAAAACGAACTCACCGATAAACAATAACTCGACGACTAGGTGTCCTTTTACGATTAGCCGTTCTACTAGATCCATGATTTTGATGATTAACTGAACGATTACCGGTAACTGCATTTGACCGTGTATTCATTACACCAGGATTTTGTTGTGTTCGATTATATGGATTAAAAATAAAATGTTTATTCTGGCGTCCATTTCTTGTTTGATTGGTATTATGAATACGAATGTACTGTGCAGTGTTTCGTCTTCCGCCAATGACTCCCCCACCACCGCTGTCATTTGAATTTGGACGATATTCACCTGCTTGACATTGAAAACCTGGTTTATTGCCGTTAATATTATTAGTCATCACAGCAGGAGTTGTATTCGAATGTTTTTTTACACCGACGGTATGAGCTGTAGCGGCTGCCTCTAGTGCTGCCAGATATTTACGTCGTCGAGCTTCTAGTAGAACACGTTCTGCTTCAGCTCGACGTAGTGCTGCTGCACGACGAGCAGCTTCACGTGCTAAACGTTTGGCATGTTGTGCTTGAGTTATCTGAAAGTGTACATCCCATGGGCGAAATAATAAAATAAGCGTCTGAAAAGAAAAAAAAGAAAAAGAAGATGGAGTTGAAATATAGTCATGTCAAATGCAGCAGGTTTTCTCAATTTGGAGCCTGCTCTATAATCGTAATCTACAGTAGGACATTTAAAGTGAACATAATTTGAAACCGGTAATAATAGTATGGGTCCTTAATAATAATCATTCAGCATACTTTCAAAATGTGTCACAACTTGAATTGATAAATATATTTGTATCAATTCAAACTGTATTTAATATGGCATGAACTGTAATTTATTTTTATTTCAGTTTCAATGTATCATCAATCTTTAGTACAAGAATGTAAGGAAAAAACAAGTTGGAAACTCGTGCATTATAACAAACATTAATGTAATACAATCATTCAAAGTTTTTTTTTTAAAAAAAACGATATTTTATGACTAAATTGACGACTTACAAGACATTGAAAACAAACTGCAGCCAATATAATCAATGTCCCACGCCATGTGAATAATGAAACTAAACGTGGAATTGCTTGACCACCTATTAAACAACCCATACCACTGCCACATAATGCTAGACCAACAGCTAATGGACGTTTCTGTTGAAACCAATGTCCGACGGTAGCTATAGCCGGCAAATAGATAAATGATAGACCAATACCTGTTGAATAAACATGAATGATAAACAAGAATGATAATATTAATAATATGGAAACAATTATACAGATCGACGATACTCAATCAAGTAATTAACAGAAGACACGAGTAACCGAAGTAACTCATAGTGTCATTAAAGAGAAATCAAAGACAATTCAGTGAAGAAAATTTTCTCTTTAACGATAACATTTACTCAACCTGAACAATCATACTTATAGTTAATTTTTCATAATTGAAAGCGTGAGTCAATTGAACCCAGGACCTACCAGTCTCGAGCCGAAGCCTTTAACCGATAGACCACTGAGCTGGCATCCAACGGTGTTAATGTCTAACTTCAACTGATCCATGGTGGTCTAGCTTCAATTGAATAACGCTTTCAACTATGATAAATACTAATTCTCCACAAAACCCCTTCTGATAATTAATATAATCATATGCTCACTAGTGACTTCGAGAAGTATATCTAGGAGCTCTAGTGAGAAGCAGTGACCAGTGGAGTTCAAAACCACGTCTGTTGTGAAATAGGAACTCACTCATTGTTTTACTATTGTATTTCAAGTGATCACTAATGTTTATCATAGCTATAACGTTAATCTTAAGTATTCTTTGATTAGTAGTTACTTTCTTTTATAATAGTAATATTATTAAGTTTCCCGACGGTTCTTATATATATATATATGTGTGTGTGTTGATCACTTAAATCTGTAGACAAACCAAATAATCGAAAACTAGGTAAAATTAGTATGATTTCACCAGAAAAATATGTCGCCAAACCATGAAAATAGGCTCAAACTCTGACTAGATCTGAAAAGAAAATTGAGCACTCAACTTTTACATTGTCCCATCAGCAAGAAATATTCAATTTCTAAGACCTGTTTTCCCCATAATTTGCAGTTATTCCCCTTTCTACTCTCTTTTCCGTAATTAACGGTCATATAATCAGCTTTAAAATACAATACTTGATTGAAATCTGAAGACACTATCCCGTCCTAGTTGTCCAAATTTGAAGAACACAATAATATGAGGAGAGTGTGGTAAAACCTGTAGTATATATGTTAGAAATTACAACGAACTTAAATGGCTACAATGGCAATAAACATCCATCATATATATATATATATATATATATATATATATATATATATATATATATATCACACTACTACTTACCACCAAGAAGCCCAAATGTCAATGTAAACATTTCAATGGTTGTTACAAAAGCACTGGTTAACAATGCAACTGTAGTAATAATTGCACCAATCATAGCTACCGGGCGAAAATCAAATTGGTTGCTTAACGCACTAACGAGTGGACCTATAATAGTGGGTTGGAGAACAGCATAAGAGACAATGAAAATAAAAGATAAAGAAATACACTGAAGACAAAGTAGAATAGTGACTGAAATTGTTGAAGTAATATATTTTTCAGACCACTCCTTCTCGACAGATTCTCAGTAAATAAAAGAACGTATCATTAATACATAAGTAATGAACTGATTTAAAACCATTTTTTAATTCAACTAGGAAAATCTGCAAAAGTCTTAAGTAGACGGTTTAATTTGAATGATATGAAGAACCAATTGAAATGAAAAACATCTGTCACTAAGTTATTACCTAACATTATCCGTGTGAGGCGTGCGATGATGACAAGGAGTTCAAAGTAAGGTAGATGTTTTTCTCAGAAACACTCGTGCATTGACTCAAAAGTTTAGTCCACAAGGAAATGGAACGATGTCAGGAGATGCTCTTCCATAATAATTAGTGGTCAAAACAGATCTGCATATCACTTATTCCCTCAGAATCCTAGACCTATTGTATTCACAAACCTGATTCACATGCATGATATTAGATTTACTCTCCCACTTTTATAAACATTATTCGTTCACATTAAGACAGTAAGAACATCAGCGGAAGCTATAAATGAGTCCCAATATGAGAGCACTTCAAAAGGGAAATGAGACTCTTCATTTCAACAACCTTAATAGGGAATTTATCAGAAAAATATCAGACAACTGGTCAGTCTTGATCTAGAATGCTGCTACTTTATTAAATCTTTTTTTCCTTCTATTGCACGAACATTGGCACTGATATTTATATATAGTTTATATAAAGAAGCTTAAATATAGAGCTTTCAAGCTGAATGAAACAGATGCATAACAACAGAGCTACATTCAAACCAATTTTCAGTAGATTGTATCAAATACTATGTATATTAATTGTTCTCAGTAAGAAGCCATCAATTTAAAATTGCAACCTGCCAATGTCTTATAGATATAGATAAGTAAATGTATGTGTATTTATTTAGTAGGCCTGATGGACTAACTCCTAAGATTTTAAAGGATGATTTACTTTTACCTTTCGGGAGGTTTGGGAACTTTTTGACGTCCAACAATAGCTGTATTTCCTGAACATAAGACGACGTTCGATTCTGTTGAATGTGAGATTCTGTGGTAGTGTCTGTCACTTAAAGGTAAACCAAAGAAGTACACCAACCTTGTACAGGATTTTTGCTTAAACACTACTGGTTGGGTCAGTAGTTATGGCGAACTGTCATTAAAATTTATCACTTTGCTAAGGTTGTCCACTTTCCACATTTTTATTTAACTTTGTAGTAGATACGGTTTTAGAAGTCACACACTCACTGTCTGAATTTTCTCGGGTTGATCTTCCACATGGAGATTCACTTGCTGACTACGCAGAAGATATAGTTTTGTTTGGTGAAAATGCTGGCAAAATGAAGTCTTTTGATTATTCTAAGCAACAATGCAAGCATGTTTGAGGTGCGATTTTACCCTGCTGAATGCTTGGCCTGTATCAGCACCTAAATAAATGGCAGGGAGTGAAGTGGTTGAGTGTGTTTACAGCCTTGCTTATCTTGAGAGTCCCATTAGTCCTGATTGGTTGGTATCCCATGAAGTCTTGGCACAGACTCAAAGCGTTCCACAGCCTTTTGATAGCTTGAATCGCTCGCAAAGTTGGAGAGATATCCGTCTGCCAAGCAGACGACGAGTTAACTGAGTACCAGTTTGCTCTGTTCTATTTTATGGGTGTGAAACATGGTGTAAGGACGGCTCGTCGGCATACTCTAGGAAGCTCTAAGAAGCCCAGGAAGAGCCACAGACATTCCATCCAATCACTGCTAGGGGAATGTTCTAGAATGTCGACGTGTAGCTTCCCCATTGGATGGATAAGAATGACCCCTATGTGCCTATTGGTTGACCGAAATGATGATTTACATTCAGCCAAAAAACTATAAATACACGAGATTTCTGCACCATATTTTGACACTGATTTGGGGAATAAACTTCCTACTTACTAGTCTTTGTCTTCTCTCTTTGCGACGTTGCGGGTTCTATCGTTCAAGTAGTCTAGTAGTTTTCGGCATAGTAAGAATCAAGGCTCTAGATATAACACATGGCCATTGAGATGAGTGGATATTGATAGGTTATTAGTATTCGATAATAGGTGTCTTAGAAGCATCGCTCATGTATCTCGGGGCGACCCGGTAAGCAACGCCTAGGTTAGGAATAGAGTACTAGGTAAGGATCGCAAATCCATTGATGTGGTAGTAAATCTTCATCAACTGAAATGATCTAAAGGTGCGTTATGTATGCCCAACTATCCCCTACCTCGACAAGCGATGTCGTCTGGTGTAGGAGTAGATTGAGAGAAAGCTAGGGATGGCCAAACTAAAATGTGGGACCACTCTATGAAGTTATTGAAAATTGGACTGAGTCATTTTTAACAGATGTAGACTATTTGATTGGAGTTCTCAATCAATGGTTAGAGACTTTGAACGACACAACTTAAAACTGCTAGCAATGGTGGTGGTACATCTATTTTATCTTACCTTAGGTCCTACACATTTCTAAATTCCTCAATATTTTATCCTTTTGAATGGTATCTTCGATGCCTAAACTTTTCCATTACCACTAATACTGTTACTAGGCCTACTAATCTGGGATTTGCACTGACAATTTCATCTCTCTGTATTGTTGTACCAGGTTATACATTGGGTTTGACTGAATGAGTAAGAGACCTGCAATCCACCAGTTGACTGCATAGGACGAAACAATAGAAGGTATTTAAAAGGACGAGAGACGATAGTGTTAGAACTTTTCTCGCTACAAACACCGTTTGTTTATACTGCCATAAAACTCTTGTTTACTTTGAAGAGTTATATAAAAAAGGCAATAAGAAACTTTATTTCCTTATATCACATTATAACTACAAAAAATGAAAGATGGAACTAAGGGTGCATATACAGTTTCAGTGTCTAACTAACTAACTTGTTTGGTAATGTAACAGCAACTCCTAAGCAAGACCTGCCAGGGATTGAAATCATAACTATCAAGCCCTTTATAAACCTCTTCCTCTGATAATGATTACTACTCAGTCAACGAACAATTTGAGTTACCATACCAATTGAATTGCTACAATTGGTTTCGTAAGTCGATCACCATTAACAAATTTTTCATAAATTCACTTTTAATTATGTCAAGAAATCAAGATCATTTGTTAACTTACCAAGAAATAGATATAGACCAACTATTAGACCACCAGGGGTTAATAAAATCGAACGTTGTTGTATTTGAAAATCTTCACCTAATTCTGAAATTGGTATACAACTGCCAACGATTGGGTGAATAATACGGTCATTACGAGGGTATTTAATTGGACCAGTTTCATTGAATTTCTGTCCATTTGATGATGATGACAGTACACGTAAATTAGAATATGGACAGATTGGATTTATTAACAGACCATAAGTGAAACATATTCCATCAACTAGTACCATACAACAAAATGAACCGAGCACAACAAACCAACCCCAACCACCGTCAGATACAACATCGTGTGCATTCAATTCTAATAATATTATAACCGGGAAATACAAGAGAGAAAGATAAGAACTAGGAAATTTGAAATAAAGACAATTATTACACTAGTACAACAGATAAATGGTAGAAATTGTTTGTTTGCCTTTTTTAAAAAAGATCAGAGTTTGTAAAAATACCATCCACATATCCTTGGCTTATACTATATTACTTATTATTATTACTATCCAGAATAACGATAATCATACTGATCACATTCAGTTCATTTAAATGAGGATGGAATTATTTTTATAACACAACGGGAAAATCGCTCAGATAGGTAAACAACATGGTGAGCACATGGGATAAGTTGACATTGATCCAAGTTCTATGCCCACAATTTATGCTAGAACGATATGAAAGGAAATTAACAATAGGATGACAAGTAATAAGTATCAATATAGAACTTAGTATAAATGACAGTGAACGAAACGAAAACAAATATAGTTATGAAAAAAGATAGAAACTGATCAAAAAGATAGATTTCAAGTCATAGTATCTACAATGGTTAAGTCCTAAATCCCAATTACAGTGCAGATATCAACGAAGTTTATATTTTCCAACATACCCTAGATCAACAGCTAATGAATAGTGCTATATTTTGCTTTGATCGCACATCTAGCTCTTGTACAACTGTCCTCGCGTTAACGACTATTCTTTGTTAGAGGGGGTAGCGGGTGGATATATGTAACACAGGTTCTGCAATTTAGCAATATACCTGTGTGTTCCAGAGTGCCAAACCACTATATTTCATTTTCCAGGTTCATGCAGTTAAAATGTGGACATATTTATTATATGAAAACAGGGGAAAAGAGTTAATAAATTAATTCTCTAAGTCAAGTAATAATTAAACTCTATAGTCAATCAGGTTTTTATTTTATTTGCATTTGAGTGACCTATGGCATCTGTTTCAATCAACATATTATATCCATTTTTGTGTTTGTTACTTTATATATAAGCATATTATTTCATTAGATATAAATTCAATTTCACTAGTCAGTGGTCATTGGTATCTTTACTCTCACATTATTCAGGGGTTTGAGTCAGTAATCCGGTGTCCTAAGGAGACATTAATTATTATTTTTCATTATTACTATTATTTGAACACAAACATTGTTGAAAAAAGGGACCAAAACATATGCGCCACATAATAAAAATGAGGCCCTGAAGAGATAGAAAATGTATGGTGCATACAACAAAGAGAAATTAGTGTATGGGAGTAATAATAATAATAATAATAATAATAATAATAATAATAATAATAATAATAATAATAATAATAATAATAATAATAATAATGGGAGAAACAGGTAAAAAAAATACAACCAAAAAGGATTCCAGTTAAAGTTCCTGTCACTTATATAAAGTAAAAGAAAGTTACAGTAGGATCGACACTGGTTCCTATTCTGAATCATACCTGATACCGTCTCAAGCAACTGTGTTGCACCATCTCAAGGACCTTAAACAGGAATTTGTCAAGGACCATAAGAAGTCAATCCTGTAAAGCTTTCTTTCATGCGACGGCACCATGTGATACACTGACCACCTATCCGCTTTCTCCAACGGTTCCAAAGTCAACAAATAATGCACAATGTGGAATTCGCTAAAGCGACGTTCGTAGGACATGTCAAAGCCACTGACGTCAATGTTTCAATATGGTGAGACCAATTCAATTATGATCGCTTTGTCCGAACACACAATGCCGAACCTCTGCATTACTAACATGGTGTTGCCACTGGATGTCAGCAATCCTTAGGAGACAACGATGATCAAACACAGAGAGTCGCATAACATCCTCAACTCGAAGAGACCAGGTTTCAAAAGCATAGAACACAGCTGCTCTCATCGACGCGTTGTAGATCCGACCTTTTACAGCCAGACTGACATCACAAAGGCTCCAAAGACAGTCTCGACTGGTAAGAGCCGTTATGGTTTTCATTATATGTGAATTGGTCTCATTCCATTACCAGCACTTGCCCAGCTACCCAGATACTTATAAAATGCGAACCATACGCCACACCTACAGACACTGGTCTCCAACTGATTAAATGTAGATTCCATGGCTTGGACATTATCGCACAGTGAGACAATAACATTCACGTACTAAAATTCTTTCTTTAGGCAACAGATCCACACCACCATAACCCACATCCATTAGAGCTGTCTCCAGAACGTCATCGATTACAAAGTTGAAGAGGAATGGGGAGATTGAGCAACCCCGTCTAACCTCACTGATTAAATGGAACAGTGAAGAGAGGTGGTTGTATGCCCTTATGTTGCCTAAGGAGTTTGTAAATAGGTCCTTTAAGATGTTATTAAATTTCCCAGGCACACCCTTCTTCAAAAAAATTCCTAAAGAACAGTCCTGTCCGACGAGTTGAAAGCACCCCTGATGTCAATAAGTACAACAATTGTTGGCCTAGAATAAGTATGTCGATGTTCTAACATTTGGTGGAGGGTGAAGATATGATCAATACATCCTCAACCAGAACCAAAACCAGCCTGCTCCTCACAAATCTCTTTCTCGGGTTTGAACAAGCTACGAAGTATGACGGGAGCCAACAATATGAACGCAATCAGAAATAAACTTATCCCTAGATAGTTCTTGCATAGGTGATGTCATTCATATCCTTAGAATCCTGGAGTCCATTGTCACCATTGATTTGCAATCATGGTTTTTTTAACTCCCTTTTAACACCAAACCGCTTATAGCGCCGGACATACGCTTTTCGTCCACTCAATTTTCTAAATAACACCCGATGAAAGAGGGCAATGAGTAGGACTTCCTTAGCAGTGGCTACATATGCGTGACCATGTGAGAACATTTCGAGGAGAACGAACTCTCCTTAACCTCGGCAGTACTAGGGCATTTAAGGCCAGTTATCATTTAGTCATATCATCTCATTTCATCTTATCTATCAATTAACATTCTATTTATTTATTTAACAATCCCCAAACGTCCCTCATAAAATCCACTTCTACTGTACAAAAAGAATGTTGTTAACTTTTCGGACGTTTAATTTAACATGATTTAGTATATAGACAGTCAGTGAAAATCAACGTACAGCCTGGCAAAATTTTCTGATGGCTCAGTTAGCAATAGTATTAGAATGATGAAATGAAATTAACAAGATGGATGGCAAAAGAGACCAAAATAATTTATTAGCTATGATAATGAGAAAGAAAAAGCAATTAGAACATGGTTCGAAAAGACAGTGAAAAGGCGTGCATGAAGGAATGTTGGAACCCTACATTTAGAGTGAGATAAGAAAAACAATGCATAGCCAATTAGATTGATTTCTGAGCTATGTCATTCACATCAATCACTGACAGATAAAGTCTCGCGGATCCCAACCAGTTAGTATATATATGGCTTTGAATTACATGTTCTGCATGACGGCTAGTGATACTAATTCACCGGATTTCCTGATAGAATGAGATGCGAAGAAGTTTTGAACTTGCAACTCAATGGTAAAAATATGCTTATAGACTTTAATTCCCCACCAATGACTTTTAGAACAAAACTCTAAACTCGTCAATTGTACAACCATCATCAAAATTTACTTCGATATATTAGTCGAGCGTATTCGGTGAAATCAAGTGTATGTGAAAATGGAAAAAACTTTAGCCTTATGGTATTCAAAAATAGTAAATAATTATTCATCTTTTACGTTAAAGAAAATGCACTTTTATGGTAACTTTCTATCCTTGTTGACTTTCAGTAGGGATTGACCTCAACCTTAATTCAAAACTATGACATAGTTCATTATTTAATGCTAAACAATATTTACCATGGTAATAATAACTTATTAAAGTTAGTCCCCAAATGTCCTAGTATGACCATGGGTTAAGAGAATCTGCTCGCACATTCGGAATGCTCTCATATAGCTTAAGGTTTATAGCTCCTACCAGTGAAGTTCTGCTCACAGACTTCATGTGGAGGAGGTGCATTTTACAAAATGAAAGGATGGAAACCAGATTTCTAGAGAATATACCAGGTCGATATATGCAGAGGGGTTCACCTAGGTGAGCTGCAAAGCTATGATTTCAAATCAATGACGTGCACGGGCTCCAAGATTTTCGGGAAACAAATGACGTATGGAACTGCATCCCCTGGTACTGCTTCACTGTGTCTATCGGTTTGTCACAACTAGCTGGTTGGGGTCTAAGAGACAATGTGAGTCAGTGAATTCGCAATTTATCAAATAAGATTTTGAATGTAACGTAATGGCGATCCTAAAGTGCTCCCATTTTACTTGAATTATACATGCTAGAGGAACTCTCTTAATTGAAAGTTCTTCTTGGTTGTATTTTTTAAATGAACTGTATATTCTACCACATACCATTCTTGTTCATTTGTTCTTTTTCCTTTTGCCTCCTTTTATTATCTCACAGCATTATTTTTTTCATTTATGTAGCACATATCTTTTCCGGTGCCTAGGTGTACCACAATCGATATATATCAAATAATATTTTCAAAAAGTTGAAAATGTGAACTAATGGATTTTAACACGATGTAGATTTAAAGGCAATGTATTTCACGTGAGATTGGAGGATCTTTTGATTTTGTACTGAAATTTGTGAGTGTACACTACTGACTGTCAAAATGTGACAGCATTAGATAACGATAAAAAACACCCTTCAAATAAATATCAGTTGTACCACAACAAATTAAATCGAATGATAATAATAATATTAAGAAAACGTTCAACTAACCCCCTACAGATGTATGATAATGTTGATCAGCAGTAGTAGTTACTTGACCAGGTGTTTGATATTGTATCATTTGATTCGTTTTCAAATTATATTGTGATGAATGATAAGATGCCACGGCTGTTGACGACCCACCACCACCAATGATTGGTAATTCACCAGGATTAATCACACAAACTGGTTGTGCATGTCCTGTTGAAGGGATAATAACATGAGATTGTTGAATTTGTTGCTGTTGGTTGTGATGATGGTGGTCTTCTTTTACTTTTTCATGTAATTCCTGTGAAAATCATGTAGAACAAATAAAAAATAATCCCGATAGGAAAGTTCAAAGAGACTATAATTAGTAAATCAGTTTATAGTCTGAATTATAGATAATTAAAAAAGAATTGAGAATAAAAGAGAGCCGAATAGGTTTTTCGCCATGGTAATGTAACTCTAGCAGTTAGAAACCAGACTCACTCAATGTCAACTATATAATCTGAATGTAACGCGCTAATCATGAAATATAGAGACTGCGGGTTAAGTGCCTGACACCATTGAACGTATGCACTGATGAGTCCTATATTACAATGAAACAACTTCCCAATGAACCTTAGTTTTCAGAAATTATAGAGTTGAGATCATGAGTCAATTGAAGCTAGACCACCATGGAAAACCTGGAAGCACTGGACGGCCGTTTCGTCCTATTATGGGACTCCTCAGCAGTGCGCATCCACGAACCCAGAAATTGTTAATTTAAAGTGGGTGACGAATACTATTTATAACTAACATATGAATGGAATTGTAAAATGAATTGCGATTGTATGTATTAGTGGTTGCATATATAATTTCGCCCTGGAAACTGAAGAAAAGAATAAACACTTATGAACGGAAAACGAAAAAATATTGACAAATCTTTAGGCCAAGATACTGCCAAAACACATCATCTTACCGAATACTTCAAGAGCGAGTCTTTGGAATGCGATCAGCATCTGTAGAATCAGTGTGATAATAGTTGGGAAATAATCTAGTTTCTGACATAGTAGTAAACAAAATGATCTTACTTAGATGTAGTCTGATAGTACTAGGCAATCGGTAACCAACTACTAGCGAAAAACTAACGCGATCGGAAATTTGTCTAGGAAAACTACATTATTTATTTATTTATAAGCATAAATATTGGTACAAAAAGACACCAGATACATATGCGCCACAAAATCTCATTTGATTTGTGTGAGGGCTGTGATACTGCTCAGGTGCCCAAACTAAAGCAGGTGGTTTCCTTGGGGGGCCACACCCGAAGCCTTTGATCTAAAGATCTGATAAAAAAGGCACTGGAGCATCGTGAGGAGATACAGTCCCATGGCAGCCAGTAACCAACGATTGGTTCATACTCCATTCGTTTCATTAGGATACGGGAGCCCATGTGCACCACTGGTTTGGAATCAGGGTTTTCCAACTCCCCTAGGTAGGTCCTCCGTATCCACCAGACCGGTTAAAGCGCCGGATATTCGCTTTTCTTTCTCTCAATTTTGTAAACAACACCCCCGTTACGAGAAGGCAGTGAGTAGGACTTCCCTGGCAGAGGCTATATACGCGTGGCCATGTGAGAGCATTTCGAGTGGGAGAGCGGACGCTCCCCACTCTCGGTCGTACCAGGGCATTTCGGGGGCAGAAAAACTACAACTTTCGTAAAAATGACATCTTATAAAGTTTATAACTACCTAAGGCAGCGGCAATAGGTAACAGCAAACAACTATTCAAACTTGTTAAAGAAACCAGTATTACGAACTCAACTATCAGTGAAAATATCTCGGATAAAGATGGACATGTCATTCATTCTCAATCCGGGAGATTGGATCGATTGGCAGAACACTTTAGGGATCAGTTCAACTGGCCTTCAGCCACACTTCGGTTTCTTATGATACTGAATGGCAAGTAAATGTAAATCCACCAACTCTTTACGAAGTTGAAAAAGCTAAAGGAAATCTGAAGCGAGGGAGAGCAGTAGGCCCTGACAGGTTTACCCCTGAGATTTTTAAGGATGGTGGTCCAGTACTAGCAACGAGATTGACTGAAATCTTAGGTAGAATCTGGAAACTGAACGTAATCCCATATGACTGCTTCCAATCACTAATTGTGCCAGTCTATAAGAAAGGACAAAAGTCCTCTTGTCACAATCACAGAGGGATCAGTTTGACTAATATAGTGTCTAAAATATTAGCTTCAATAGTACTTAGGCGCCTAACCAAAGCTCGTGAAGAGCAGACTAGAGAAACCCAGGCTGATTTCCCACCTGGACGTGGTTGCATAGACCAGATATTCACTCTACGTCAGGCCTTAGAACATAGACACACATTCAGAAGTCCCACAATAGTAGTATTTTTCGACCTTAAGGCCGCATTTGACTCCGTTGATCGTGAGGTTCTATGGCAGTGTTTGTCAGTGAAAGGAGTACCAAAGAAGTACATTAACCTCATAAAGGCTCTCTACTCGAACACAACTGGTCCAGTTCGAGCCTATAGCGAACTGTCATCAGAATTGATTACCTCAAGTGGTGTTCGTCAGGGCTGTCCACTCTCCCCATTCTTGTTTAACTTTATCGTCGACATGCTTTTAGAGGTATCCCTTTCATCATCTCAATCTCCTGGAGCTGAACTTTTACCAGGAGGCTCACTTATTGACTTAGAATACGCCGACGACATAGGTTTATTCAGTGAAGACTCTGACAAAATGCAGAATCTTCTGACCACCATAAGCAACAATGCAGGCATGTTCGGGATGCGATTCTCTCCCTCGAAATGTAAAATGTTACTTCAGGAATGGGTTGCATCGGCACCCGAACTAATCATAGGGAGTGAAGTAGTTGAACGTGTTGACCGCTTCACTTATCTTGGGAGTCTAATCAGCCCTTGTGGTCTGGTGTGTGATGAAATCTCAGCACGGATACAGAAGGCTCGTCTAGCTTTCGCCGACTTGCGTCATTCATGGAGTAGGCGAGATATCGGTCTAGCAACAAAAGGACGGATTTACTGTGCAGCAGTTCGTTCCGTCCTACTTTATGGCAGTTAAATATGGCCGGTATAAGTAGAGGATATTCGAAAGCTACTAGTATTCGATCATAGGTGTCTTCGAAACACCGCTCGTGTATCCTGTGACCACCGAGTAAGTAATGTAGTTGCTAGGATACAGGTACTAGGTAAGGATGGCAAACCGATTGATGAAGTAGTGAAACTTTATCAGTTGAGATGGCTGGGACATGTGTTATTATTATTATTATTATTAGCTTTATTCAATATTATATTTTTGGTACAATATAGAATTCTCAGCACAAAGTACTTCAACAAGTTTCCGTTTCTTACTTCTTTGTCCTTTCTGACGACAAATATTGGGTGATCGCCGGTTAGAAGTTAGCAGCCCAGTCAATCGACATCTGGATAATGTGCATTCTTCTCGCTGCATATTGACAGCAATCACGATATCTCTGAATAAGCCTTCTGTAACCTTTACAGCGAAAGGTCTTACACTTTTCAGAAACGCACTTGAATAGGTTGTGCAATTAAGGCATAATGATGTATTAAAACAAACGAAGTCAGATAACTTGTTGAAATATCTAGATGACAGGAACAGGTAGCCCAGATGTTTAAACAGGCCGCCAATATGTTACGTATGCCCAACCACCGACTGCCCCGACGTGCAATGTTTTATGGTATAGGAGTAGGTTGGAAGAAAGCTAGGGGGAGCCAGACCAAAACGTGGCACAAATCCATGAAGTCACTGACAAGTGGACTGGGCCGTGTTGGTAGGTGTAGATTACCTGGTTGGGATTCGCGAGATGATAGCAATCGATGGTTAGAAACATTGAATGACATGGATCAAAATCGTTTGCAGTGGCGAAGGTGCATCCACTGTTTGTGTTCTACCAAATTCGAATCTTCTGCATTCTTCATGTCTCTATCTTATTTCTCTTTCAAAACTTATTTCACTGGATTATACTACTTGAATAACATCTTCAAACCCTATTTTTTCACATTAATGTTTATACTCTTACTACTTCTACCACTATGGGATTTAAATCGATAACTGCATCTCTGTGCTAATGTGGTATGGCGACTGGAACTGATGTACGTACGTACGAAGTTCTACGTTGTGACTGACTGACTGACTATAACTACGATTTTTTTAAAAATTCGATATTATCTAGACAACATATTTTGTTCTGATAAGTTTTGTTACTAAATTGAATTGCTTAACCTGTAATGAAAGTTACAAAAGCATGGATAACATAAATCTGTAGGCCATATATTGACAACAGTTTACATAAAACTAATAAAATCCTATCCATTAAAGAGATCATATTTAAGAAGCAATCCCAACCAATCCTGTAAATGCATTTATTTGGCTGACTTATAAAGCAAATTAACGAACTAGGACTTATTTGTTTAGCAGTTAAATTAAGAAAAGCATATCCTTCATAAAGGTGAAACGGAATAAAAAACAAGTTAGTCGATCTATCAAGTTAGACAATTCTTACATATTAGAAGAGGGATACTATAAGCGTTAAACAAAAAGACTCAATAATCTGCACAGGATAGTTCCTAAACGAAACATCTATGTGTATATCAGAAATATCGACTTCTTTTCAACTTGCTTCCTCTAATCATCACCTTTTAAGATTGAATTAATAAAATATTATCCGGATAGGTTTATCAGCTGATCAAATATTTTTAAAAATCGCTTTCCGGAAAACTATCACATCATTCGCTATCACTAAAGACGGATTCCGTAAACACAGTTAGAAATAAATTGAAACAAAAGTTGGCTAATGACTTATTATAGGTAGAAAATGTGCTTCAATCTGGTATAAAACAATACCACAGAAAAGTATGAATAATAAAACACCAACAAAATACGGACCAGTTGTTAAAGTATACCTTTAAAAATAATCTCAAATCTTCACTGCCTGTACTATCTTCACTTCCTTCATGTTGTAATTGATCCACATCCTCAATTTTTAGCTGATCACTTTGTTCATCAGTCGATTCAATTATAGGATTAATAACTTTACCAGGTCCGTCAGTCATTTAGAGAAAAAACAATAATTCTAAGCTTTGTTTATAAATTGATTTGGTTGACTTTTGTTGAACAAGACGTGCTGGCTGATGCGGAAAATAATTATACATAAAATGAACACAAAAAGATTGGACAAAGTGAGAATAATTGAGAATCAATAGAACGAATTAAGATTTAACTTTAATAATACAGTTTGGTTATACGAAATATAACGACAGATTCATTAATCCAACTAGTTAAATTGATTCTGATGGGCTTGTTAGGGAGGCTATCCCCAAACAGATACATCTAGTTTGGTCAGTACTAGGTGGCTTATCAAACATGTACTGACATCATACTTATTTAAAGTATCAACAAAAGTATTTATTTATTTATTTGAACACATTAATATTTGTACAAAAAGACACCAGATACATATGCGCCACAAAATCTCATTTGATTTGTGTGAGGGCTGTGATACTGCTCAGGTGCCCAAACTAAAGCAGGTGGTTTCCTTGGGGGGCCACACCCGAAGCCTTTGATCTAAAGATCTGATAAAAAAGGCACTGGAGCATCGTGAGGAGATACAGTCCCATGGCAGCCAGTAACCAACGATTGGTTCATACTCCATTCGTTTCATTAGGATACGGGAGCCCATGTGCACCACTGGTTTGGAATCAGGGTTTTCCAACTCCCCTAGGTAGGTCCTCCGTATCCACCAGACCGGTTAAAGCGCCGGATATTCGCTTTTCTTTCTCTCAATTTTGTAAACAACACCCCCGTTACGAGAAGGCAGTGAGTAGGACTTCCCTGGCAGAGGCTATATACGCGTGGCCATGTGAGAGCATTTCGAGAGGGAGAGCGGACTCTCCCCACTCAACAAAAGTAGGTCAAATGCAGCAGCTTACCTTCTTTAGCTAGGTGATGGTCAAATTTCATATATGGAATTTGCAAATATGTCGCAAAAAGTCTTTTTCAAATTGATAGTTTCAAATAAATTGAGCATTGAGTAGGGTTAATAATAAATATATTTTTGTTATATCTCAGTGAGTAGAAATATATTTTTCTAATATTTGGGATATAAAAAAATACATTTATTACTGTTTTAATTGTTGCTAACATGCGTCCCACTTTTACTTAAATGAGTTTCTAAACAAGAATTGAGCCTCAAATGGAAAAGGACTGCGTTTTTTTCAGAAATAACCTACTAAAACAACTGATGAAACGTGTACAGCTTTGGTGTTTCAAATTTGAAATTGTTATGTCTGATGTCGCTTATTACTTATGCTTGAAACGAGGAACCACTACAATTTACACGACGCCAAGTAAGAACACGGAAGGCCAGTACAAGTAAAGATCTACTCACCCCAAAAAGACGACGATGGCTTTAATCAAAAGTACACTGATGTATATACTGATTTGTATACACAGTTGATTATTAATTAGGAAAACGTTAAATGAAAAATGCCAAGAATTGTAACGAACCACATGTTGCATATCATGTTGAGTATATTTCATGTTAATTTAGTACAAGGAATATTATATCTTATCTAAAGACTGAAATAAATGTAATACTGAATAAAAGATCGCGCTAAAAAATTTAAATATTACTCTGCGTAATTATGACACTGAATTCAAGAACGGAAGTGATGTTGGACAAAAATCACAATGAATTCAAAATGAAACTTTGCCTTCTGAGACTATCATATCAGAAATGGAGATGTATTTAGTCATTTGTAGCAGTCTTCGATAGTTTGCAGCCAAACTTTTCTCGAATCCAGATTATCTATAAACACCTATTTGAACTTATGTGTGATGCATTTAAACTGCTGGTTCTTAAAGAAGCTATATGAGTTTATTGAAAAACTTAACCACAATTCAATGAGATGTGATTAGTGCCATAATTCTTGCTAGCATACGTCTTGAATGTAACTGGATGAATAAATGCAGTCAACTTTAAGTGAAAATCATTTGAAACTGAATAAGACTTCATTGTTATTTTTGTAATTATAAAATTAATAACTACCTTTGGTTTTCTCCCATTTATGAATATTATTAAGGTTTCCTTATCACTTCGACCGTCTCTTCGAAAATAATAGATCAGGGTTATTTAAAAATTTGGCATTTACCCAAATGACTTACATAACTCACTCTACTTTTAATTTTGAAAGTATGACTCAAGGATAGTTTGTATTTCTTTGCATTGTATGTGTAATACACCATTTGATTGGATGGAAGATCCTGCCAAACTAATATAAACATCGAGCACAAGCATCTTTGTTTCATTGGCTCTACTTGACTACTCAAACTTTTTTTCAAAAGATAGCAATGAATCTAGACTATTCTACACAGACGTATCTTGTTTCTGATTGCTATGTTTTTAGAAAAAGTATCATGATTTAATTATCAGTGACAAGTATATCTAATTGACTAACACCATGCAAGAGAAAGACTAGCTGCAAAGCGAAACAATACCCAAGAGAGCGGGTACTGAGGGATATTTCGTCCGTACTAAAACCGAGCAACAATGAGGAGGCACCTAGTAGGCCCGATCGAAAGTTCAAGTTTAGTAGAAAAAAATGACCAAGACTAATCCTCTCAACAATCCAGTGACTTTTCGGGACCTCATTTTGTGTGCATTGCAACTATGAATAAAACTCCAGTAAAAACTAGAGAACAGATACAAAAAAATCATAAAAGGTGAAATAAATGACCTGATGTTACAAAGAAATAACAGAATCCCTAAACTGTTGAGAAACCTGAAGCTAATTATAGTGATGGGCAAGTCATCTTTCGTAGAGTGAAGAGGAAAAGCTGTGAATCGAGAACCACCTTAGCATGATGTAGACAATGTTAATGATCGAATAAACAGGTTAACGACTCAAGAAATCTACCAGACCGGATATGATCACCAAAGACGTAGCCAACCCAGTTTATATAAGGTAATGGAACAAACTTGAAAACTTCGTCATAATAAACACTGGCAGGAGCTGAATTCGTAAGAAACAGTATCACTTTTACTATTGCCGACAACATAAGAAAATGAAAGGTATGAAATAATTATTTGCCACTTGAAATGCAAGGAACAAAAGCTGTTGATTGGTTCAGTATACTGCAGTCATAACTGAAGCTAAAGAGGTTTTACGGCATGAACTCAACACAGTCCTCAAGCTGGAGAAATCCAACCTTAGATTTTAATGCACTTTAAAAGACCTAACAAGATTTACAGTGGTTCAGAATCTGGTGATTCTCCATTACTGCTTTTAAGTGTATTATGACGCATATGGGCCACCGAAGTACAGAATATATACACAGTTTAATTAAAACTCTAGCACTACCGGAAACCAGTGACCCCCTGTCTTAAAACGAGATAGCAGTTGAAGAAATTTGAAAGAAGTACAAATGAGCAGGTTCCTAGAACCTCTTAACTGCCATGAAATGAGAGTGACTAGACTAAACCTATTTCCTTCCTCGTATATAGAAACTCGAGGTGACTTGATCACGGACTTAAACTTGCTTAGTAATAATTTTGTAACTAACATGCCCTCATTTTTCGCGTTTTGTGGGACAGAGAATTTACGAAGACACCCCGAAAACAGCAACAAGCCCACAGTCGACTACATACCAGTTGAATGCATACTTTTTCACTGAAATGTGAACAAGTAGAACTGGTTACCTTACATGTTGTTAAGGCCTGATAATTCTCAGGATTCAAAAGAAAATCGTACCAAATAAGCCCCTATTCCCACTCATAGAGATCAAAATGCCACCTGGCCTCAAACTGAAACTTAGATGCGGCATGAATTAGAGGCCTAGAACAAAAGAGCTAACAGGACTAAAAGACAAAAAATTACGAGAACCAACCTTCTCAACTGGGTCTCCTCTCATCGGGCATCAGAATAGAAGTCGGTTATATTACGGTCTACAACATACTAAAAAGTTCTAACTTAATTTAACAAAGTACTTTTACTAGGGGACCATTATGGCAATTGGCAAAGCAAAACATGAGAAATCCTTTATTAAATAGCAAATGCCTGTGTGAGATTTCGCTTCGCACCAAAAGTATGTGCTAGCTGAACCACAACTTTCAATGTACTCTTTAAGAATAGGCTAAATCATGTGCGTGTCTCAAGATTATATTCTGTCAGCTCCAATAAAGGATAAATGAATACGGTAAAATGCTAATAAATTTATTACTCATACTCTCTTCATGTTAGATGATACTTGTTTCATTTCTTCAAGTTGTTTAGTTTTCATTGGCATTCTTATGGCTTGTTGCTTATTTTTAGCTTACTGTCTTAGTTTCAATAACTTTTACCTTACTGACTGCCAACCCAAAACCTTGAATAGATTAAGGCAGTAAATGTGCCGGCGATGTGACACCATGGTCCCAGCAACTCCACTGTTACGAAACAGGAGTAACAATCTGGCTAAGAAGTGTATCAAAATCGTTACGTTCGTCAAATAAGCTGAAATATCTGTAATTGATTGGATAGGGTAGACTTTTTGGATACTACCAAAGACCTGAAATCGTCCTCTAATAACAAGAGTAAAATGCACGAAAGTGAGTCCATCAGTACTGTCAAACTGTTAGCTTTTCGTGAATGCTGACTACTTGAATGATATTCAGAGAAAATCCTATTTGACTTGGCGGAAAAATCCTGAGAGTATACGGCAAAGACTACAAAATTCATAGTGGTCTTAGTTATGTCCACAACATTTGAGCAGGACTCAAATGTGAGGAAAAATCTAACTATTTAGCCTATATGTTTGTTAAAAGCGTTTCGTCATTCCAACACACTTTTATATGACAAAAAATGATTTGATGAAACCTGTAATTTTAAAGAACTCGGAATTTCATGTTAAGAGAAAATATATTAGAGAGGAACTAAAAAACTAGACAACCACAGCGAAACACATACTGTTTTAACTCCAGTTTGCGCTGAAATGCTAGACCGTTGGACATTATCAGCAAATGCAGGACTAAGGAAGCGAGATCTACAACAACCGTAAAGCAGAATTCAAACGAACCCTAAACTTTCCAGGTGACCTTGTCAGCAGAAATGAGTATTCCAATATCCAATATCCATCAGCTTCCTATTCCATTTGTGAAGAGAAGATATAACAATGCCGCATTTTTCTCTATATGCGAGTATGAATGTCTTCAAGGTTATCTTCAAGCGTTCCACATAAACGCTTTAGTCATCTATTATTCTTGATTCATTCAGCTGTACGTTTTTAAATTTAAGGTGCTGATTGAGACAATGTTACTTATTTGTTGTCAAGTTTTTTCTAGTTCTTTATGCTCTTTTTCAATCTCTATACCTACCATAAATTACATATATACCATGGTCTTGGCAACTGTCATGTTGGTTCGTCCGGGTTCTTGTTTATGTCTCATGAACTGTATGGAATTGAACAACTTTTCGATTATAATTATGAGCAGTCTTCTAGCACTGGAAACACTAGGTGTAATAACATGTAATTCCTAGTTTTTTTTTATTTAATTGTACTTCACTATTCTAACGAACAGTATATCATCTATATATAAATGACAGACTAATATTCCCATATAAATAAAGTTTAGTAGTTATGTCTATTAACCGTTCCATATCTTTCGTCAACTAATCATATGTCACAGGTATTAAAAGTTTGACAACATTCATGTACGTAATACCCTTGCATTCGAAGCATAACAACGCAGTCAAATCAGAAGTCAGAAATGAAGGGCTACAAAGATTTATATGAAAGGTTATAGATGGGCCGAGAAGCATTTGGTCAAGGCTGAATAACTGTTTCAAGGAACACTCAGCACAGTGAACCCACTAGTAATATGTTGCAGATGCATGAACGATCACCTTCACCTAGGTGTAGTGTCGAAAACTCACGGAATTTTCACTCTTATAACTCACTCCCCCCTCAATTATGATAGTTTTGACCTTAATACGTAACGAGACAGCATTTTAAACACAACGAGCTTGTCGTTGGTAAACTCTCATCCGATAGCTTTCTTGCTTCGATAGGATCTGGTTGTGTTTCCCTAATACAAGGTGCTATGTGGCACAACCTAGCAACTGAAAAATGTTCTGTGAAAATCTTCATTCATCGCAGTTTTCATCAGTTTTTCATCTTGGAAGCGAACAGAAGTTTAGGAGAATGTCGAATTACACTCGTATGTGAGAAAGGACTCAAAGTGGGCAAGAAATGGAAAACAATTGGTATGTAAATATTTTTGTTAGTATGCAATAGCACTAAAAGCGCTTTCCGAAAAATAAGTTTATTGAAAAAAATATTTACAAATATTTGTGAGCATGATTGTAAAATTACTCTTTGTTTTTGTTTTTTGTTAGAACAATACAAAAAAAAGATAAAACAACGTGTGTTGTGTCTTACGTTCAGCAGCCGTTCAGAACAAGTTGTTTTAAGCCGACTGTCAGTGAGTTCCTATCTCACAACAGACGTGGTTTTGAACAGTGATCAGTGGAGTTCACAACCACGTCTGTCGTGAGATAGGAACTCGTTGAAGACAATTGGTGAATGGTTTCTCAACTTCGTGGATCAGTTGAAGTTAGACATTAACACCGTTGGATGCCAGCTCAGTGGTCTGTCTGTTGCGGGCTTCGGCTCGAGATTGGTAGGTCCTGGGTTCGAATCTCGCGAGTGCGGGTTCGTGGATGCGCACTGCTGAGGAGTCCCATAATAGGACGAAATGGCCGCCCAGTGTTTCCAGGTTTTCCATGGTGGTCCAGCTTCAATTGACTCATGCTTTCTACTGAAAGGATTGCCTATCAGAGTTCGATGAAGAATCTTGGAGTAACAGGTACAAGTCTGTAATTAAGTGTACTTTTGATATTCCATAAGTCTTCAAACGTATTAGGAGATAAGAAATACAGCGTCTTTCCGGTTTTTCTAAGCAGTAGCAACAAAATCTTACACTTGATTCATATATTCAGAAAGCCATAATAATCGATTTTTCATTGGCTTAATAAATTATATTTTCGTTTTTGATTATTATTATTTTAATTGAACCAATGTTTATTTATGAATAAAAATATTCCCACGTGCATATGTCTCATTCTAGATATCTGATAGAAATACAGTCTGATGTCTTATCAGAAGCATTCAACTCCTCGGATACGTACATATGACAACCCTCATCCATTTTAGACAAGCATATTTATTGCACGATCATCAACTACCATATCAGGCTTTCCTGGATGACACTGAAGGACATCACATCGATAGCATGGCAAGCAATTAAAGTTTTGAGTGTCTCTTTAAAATAGACTGCTACCTAAAAGTGATCATCCTTCGTCTGAACCAAACAATCAGCATTCTACGTCTCAGCAAAGACTATAATTTCTGTTTTCTACTATATCCCAGCACAAGCATTTTAGTTGACCTGGATTCACTACTCAAAATGTAATTAATTTGATCAAACTAAACATCTATTTGTACGCGAACACAGTACACTGTTTCTCCTTGTTGAAAAGACGTCCAAAAATATCTAATAGAAATTTGAAACTACTATGAATATTGCCTAACAAGTAAAACATTAGAATTACGACTTTCTGTTGAATCTCCATGTTTTTCTGCAAAAGCAAGACAGGGGATGTGTAAATGCGCAGAAACATATGTTCGACCTTGAATCGGAAAGCCACTACCGTCACAAGAATATTGGGTGTGCATTTTGTTGGCGCTACATTCTGCCTACGCGCTACTTTAGGATGGCAGGCAATGCTTTGAAAAGACTCATGGCAGAGTACAAACGTACGTTTCACTTAACTACTAATATTCTCGAATTCTTAAGCTCTAGGTTTTTTTTGGAGCAAGCCCTTCATAAATCCGCTTTAGTAGTTATCACCCACTGCAATTGCTTCTAATAGTGTTTTATTTACCACCGAGGTGTATCATGTAAAGATCATGAAGTGCAGGTTGTCATTAGTAACTGTCTATGGACATGTCTAAAATTTTAAATTTCTTGAAGTAAACCCGCAAGAAGCAAGTCGGTGCTACTTTTTCTTCACACCATATACTGTCGTTACCAACTTTTTTTGTCCAAATCAAACATTTTCTGGTATTGGGTTGAAGTTAGTAAACATACAAACAGATATTTCAGATCACTTAAATCTCAGAAGTCTGATTCAGTGCTAAAATTGTTAGGAAGTGGTAGACAGCCAAGTTAAACAACTTCCTTCTTGTGACACAGATGAAGTGTCGTCTGCAAATCAAAGAACATGTATAATTTTTAATAGTTGGCTCTGTCCTACTTTATAGCTATGAAATGTAGCTTTTAAATATAGGATATTCGCAGATAACCAGTATTTTATCCTGGATACTTTAAAGATGTTGCTCGTATATGCTAGAGTCAATGAATTAACAACGGCTAGGTTGCACCTAAAGTACGTAGTAAACTGATTGATGAGAGTGGCGCTTTAATGACTCACTTATCACAATTATTACATACCTCAACCCACTGAGTTTACTGGTATAAGGTTAGGTTAAAAGATTGATGAGGGCAAACAAACCTATATGTGGCATCAGTTTACTAAGTTATTGGCTGATATTTCTAACCGTTCATAACACTATGCTGAGATCTTCGCGATTATCATAGCCGATGATTGGAGACGTTAAATGACATGGTTCAGAATCAGTCACAGTAGTACGGATGCATCCACTCTCGTCGGATCACGAGTTTCAAAATTATGTTATACTTTTTATTTCTTGAATTTTTCCTAAACCATATGGTTTATGCCTAATTTGTTACACTACTACTGATACTATAACCACTTTCACTATTATATTTTTCTTAATTTTACTTGGATGTGATGATGACGTGTGGCAACTTGAGCCGGCGTGTTTTTGTCCAATTCTATATTTATTTATTGATTGGCCTAGAGCCTGTTTTAAAATGTATGTAAATAGTTTCGCCTGTGAACAGTCTTATGATGTTTTTTCCTGCATATATCTTCGTCAAACTATTCATATCAGTCAGTCAGTCAGTTACAACGTAGAACTTCGCAGTAATCGGAAAGATTAGGGTTTGAAGATGTTATTGAAGGAGTATAATACAATTAAATAAATTTAAAAAGAGAAAAAGGTTACAGACATAAAGAATTCAGAAGATTAGAATTTGGTAGAACACAAACAGTGGATGCACCTTCGCCACTGCAAACGATTTTGAGCCATGTCATTCAAGGTTTCTAACCATCGATTGCTATCATCTCGCGAATCCCAACCAGGTAATCTACACCTACTAACACGGCCCAGTCCACTTGTCAGTGACTTCATGGATTTGTGCCACGTTTTGGTCTGGCTCCCCCTAGCTTTCTTCCAACCTACTCCTATACCATAAAACATTGCACGTCGGGGCAGTCGGTGGTTGGGCATACGTAACACATGTCCCAGCCATCTCAACTGGTGAAGTTTCATTACTTCACCAATCGATTTGCCATCCTTACCTAGTACCTGTTTCCTAGCAACTACATTACTTACTCGGTGGTCCCAGGATATACGAGCAATGCGTCGAAGACTCCTATGATCGAACACAGCCCCCGAAATGCCCTGGTACGACCGAGAGTGGGGAGCGTCCGCTCTCCCACTCGAAATGCTCTCACATGGCCACGTGTATATAGCCTCTGTCAGGGAAGTCCTACTCACTGCTTTCTCGTGGCGGGGGTGTTGTTCACAAAAGTGAAAGGACGAAAAGCGAATGTCCGGCGCTTTAACCGGGTTGGTGGATGTGAAGGATCCACCTAGGGGAGTTGGAAAACCCTGATTCCAAACCAATGGTGCACATGGACCCCAGTATCCTGAAGGAACGAATGGAGTATGAACCAACTGTTGGTCACCGGCTACCATGGGACTGTATCTCCTTACGATGCTCCATCGCCTTGTGGACTAGACCTTTAGGTCAAGGGCTCCGGGTGTGGCCCCCTAAGGAAACCACCTACTTCAGTCTGGGCACCTTGACAGTATCACAGCCCTCACACAAATCGAATGAGATTTGTGAGGCGCATATTTATCTGGTGCTTTCTTGTACCAATATTTATGTGTTTAAATAAGTAAAATAAAAAAATGATTGAACACTAGTAGCCTACGAATATCCTCTACTCTTATCGGCCATGATTCACTTCCATAAAGTAGAACGGAACGGACTGCTGCACAGTAAACCCGTCCTTTTGTTGCTAGACGGATATCTCGCCTATGCCATAAATTACGCAAGTTGGCAAAAGCTAGACGAGCCTTCTGTATCCGTGCTGAGATTTCGTCACACACCAGACCACAAGGGCTGATTAGACTCCCAAGATAAGTGAAGCGGTCAACACGTTCAACTACTTCACTCCCTATGATTAGTTCAGATGTCGATGCAACCCAATCCTGAAGTAACATTTTACATTTCGAGGGAGAGAATCGCATCCCGAACATGCCTGCATTGTTGCTTATGGTGGTCAGAAGATTCTGCATTTTGTCAGAGTCTTCACTGAATAAACCTATGTCGTCGGCGTATTCTAAGTCAATAAGTGAGCCTCCTGGTAAAAGTTCAGCTCCAGGAGATTGAGATGATGAAAGGGATACCTCTAAAAGCATGTCGACGATAAAGTTAAACAAGAATGGGGAGAGTGGACAGCCCTGACGAACACCACTTGAGGTAATCAATTCTGATGACAGTTCGCTATAGGCTCGAACTGGACCAGTTGTGTTCGAGTAGAGAGCCTTTATGAGGTTAATGTACTTCTTTGGTACTCCTTTCACTGACAAACACTGCCATAGAACCTCACGATCAACGGAGTCAAATGCGGCCTTAAGGTCGAAAAATACTACTATTGTGGGACTTCTGAATGTGTGTCTATGTTCTAAGGCCTGACGTAGAGTGAATATCTGGTCTATGCAACCACGTCCAGGTCGAAAACCAGCTATCCATATCATTCAGTTTTGTACATCACACGTTCCTAAACCTCATAGATTTTACCATCAGAGTTTTCGGCTAGTACCAATCTTTTGTTTCCCCCTATCCTTTTTATTTAAAGATCAAATACATATATGAGGCGGTAACAAATACGCCAACTAGATTTGAAAGGTAGTATTTACAAGGGTGCTTTTTAGCAGTAACAACAAACCCCAAATACTCTGGTGCGGCCGAGGGTTTGGAGAGTCAGTTTTCCCTTCCAAAATGCTCCCACATGGCCTCGAGTTTACAGCCACTGTCAGGAAATTCCTACTCACTCCCTTCTCGTGGCGTGGGTATTGTTTATGAAGTTGGGAGGAGGAAAACCAAATGTCTGACGCTTTAATCGGTTTGGTGAATATAGGGGATCCACCCTGGGTAACTGGAAAACCCTGATTCCAAACCAGTGGTGCATATGGGCTTCAGAATCATGATAGGGACGAATGTCATATAAACCTATTGTTGGCCTTGGGCTACCATAAGACTGCATCTCCTGATAATGCTCCACCGTCTTGTATATTGAAGGCTCGGGGAGTGGCCCTTTAAGAAAACCACTTGCTTCAGCTTGGGCGCCCGTGAAGTACTCCAGCCCTCACACATCAAATGAGTTGTGGTTTATATGTATTTATTGCCTTATAGTACAAATATTTGTGTTTAAGTAATAATAATAACATCAACCTACTTTCAACGAAAACGACAAAATAATCTCATTACCCATACATTTTTCTTCAGTACTAATGTTACTGTTTTGAATCCCTTGCTTTTCTTCTGATTAGTTTCCATTCTTATCATCCTTGCATCGATTTGGACTAATTTGGTCCATATTTATTTAAATTATGTTCGATATGGTTTCGGACTAAATGTGAAATTTGATAGGTTTTGTGAAAGTTTAAGTCGGTATTATCATGTTAATAAAATTCCTGTTAGAATATAGATACAAATATGCATTTAGAATGATATCATCGTATGATGAAGTCTGAAACATCAAGTTAGTGGTTAAATTACTGTTACTTTGCCCAATATATTGCAGGTTTGCACCGTATCTCACCTACTTTGACTCGGGCAGCCCATTAGTGTAAATAACCATGCCCGAAATGTGACTCGAAACTTAATAAATAAAATTGTACTTGGTAAATTTGTTACATCCTATTATCTCGCGCTCTGATTTATATTACTCTCTCCTCCATTTTAGAATTAACAGTCAACCCACCAGAGGGTATTGTTGCTGGACCAGTGGATGAAAGGAATTTTTTTGAGTGGGAAGCATTAATTGCGTGAGTTAATTGATAATTAAATTAATAAGTAACTATATAGTATTGACAGTTCAGTTCTAAATAACTGTAGCAAAATAACAAAACAGTCATTTAATTTTTTATAGCTAAATATTTAAGTCATCAATCCACAAATTCAGTACACTGTGTATTCATTCTATTATAAATTAGTTATGGAAATCTTATGACCCTCGCTGTATCATTTCAAACAACTCTGTCATTGTACCTTACGATCTATTCGGTCTTGTAATTTAATAAAGTTTGTGGTCTTTTGTGTTGATTAATTGCTGCATAAAACATGACTTTAAAATTATTAGGTCATTAACTGGCTAGTTAATGCAACTCAGGAATCTAGTAACTGATCCTTGGGTTCGAATTGGGCTTTATACGTAGGGGTTAATGGTAATACTTTAATGCTCAAACTGAAGTGGGGCAGGATTCAAACTTTCCACCTAGTGTTTAGAAGCTCTCAAGCCATATGACCGCCAAACTGCGCCATCAGTTTGTCCTCTATAAGTTTCTGTATTGTCCTTAACGTAAAAGGGTATCTATAGATGACCTTGCAATGCAGTTTCAAATTGTCTATAAAGAGTCAAAAGAAAAATAAACTTAAGTACATTTCTGTGTATTAATAAAGGTGAGTAAAATAAGAAGGTACACACAAATCATATATTTTATGATATTAAAGATTCCATCTGGTGAGTTCGGTGAGTTACTAATATCAGTAAAGAGGATCGGTTAATAGAATTGCGAAAAAGCTCTGACTGACGTTCAGGACAATACTAGTGAGTTTTCAGCCGCCAAGTAGAACACGCATCAGTAGATCTGATTATCTAACAATGTTTTCATTTCGTTTTTTGGACATTTTCCTTATGTGTAATACTAATAAACACCGTATCTTATGGATAGTATAACACTTCACTAGTAAGATTGCAAGTGGCAATTTGTTTCGTTTGAAATTCACATCTCTAATTCCCACTAAATAAAACTAAAAACATAATTTTTAGAGACTAGAGTACAATGAGAAATTAGATGTCGATTCGAAGTTAAATTATTCGCAAACCAATAAATGCCGACTAAAAACTATAAAGACCAAGGAATACTGGATAGCTACTTTCTCCATTCTGTTTTTTCAGGGGTGGTGGTGATAGTCGTTGTTTACTCTCCCTTTATCCTCAAACTTAAGAACTTCAGTATTCTTGTTATGGTACAGTCTAAGTACTGTTTAGGACTTTGGACTTCCGTTACTTACTTCCTCCTGTTACTGCCCGTGGAGGGGCATAGGCCGCCTACCAGAATTCTCCATCCAACTCTGTCCTAAACAACCATTTTTAGTTGCTACTCACTTTTTTGAGGTCTGCTTACGATTCCCAACTCAGTATGTTCCTTGATCTTCTTAATTTCATTTCCACTTCAGTATTCCAAGTTGGAACTTGCCTTGTGATGCAGTTTCATCATTTTCGAAATGTATGTCCTATCCACCTCAGTTAATTATTAGTAAGTATCCAGATTATCATCCACGACTATCTGTCAACATCGGTTAACAGTGCTTGGTCATTTAGTTCTGTATGCTTTTGACTAAACAGTTATTCTGTGCATTCTGTTCTCCAGTAATACTTCAGTCCACTCCATTCTTGGACAGGTGCTTCCATATAATCAATCATTTCCATAATATATTGGGTCGGGAGTAATGCTCTACTTTCTCAGTATCAGTTTATCTTTAGATGTATTTTAAATGAAAAATATAATTAAAAGGGTGTTTCACAGCTGAAAGCGAGAGACGCTGCATACTAACGGTCTCACCTCAGGAAAACTAACCTTTACTTACTATCTTAGTTTAATGATGACAAAAGCGGTGGCTTACTGATAAAAGTATTCAACCTACGTATATTGGGTCGCTTGTTCGAATCCTAACCCATTTACTTCGATTTATACATATGGATAGTACGACTAGTCTGGCTACACGAAGAATGTAATTCAAAGCTGAGTGTACGAATAATTTACAATATTATTTTTTATTTGTCCAACTATAGCTTGCTCGATGCAACACCTCAGTATGTCTAGTTGTACTTTTCGAAATATACCTCTGAAAACACCAGAGTCAGTGAAACGAGACGTCTATTATTTTTTTTATTTCTAGTTCATTTCCAGTTTGTGTTACTTCATAGCCTTATCGTTAGTATCAAAATAAGTAAATATGAAGTTGGTGGCTTAGTGACTAAGTGACTTGACCTTCCACTAATAGGTCATAAGTCCGAACCTTGATCGAATTACTTTGGATTGGGAAGCTAGAAATAGTGCACCACCAACAGTTTAAAATAAAGTTAACTACGTAAATCTGCAATTAATGGGTTAAAATATGACTCATTATTATTACTATACATAGTGGTAACTGAATTATCAAATTTAAATTCATTAATTGTTCACTTATAAATTGTATTTAAAGGTACATATGTATATTTTTAACAGTTTTCTTTATAAAAGTTTCTTATTACTTACTGAATATCTTAGTTTCTGACAGTTTTCCATTTTGTTCTGTATGTGATATATATTTTAGTGGACCAGAGGGTACTCCATTTGAAGGTGGTGTTTTCGCTGTACGTTTGAACTTCCCATCAGATTATCCTTTGTCTCCACCAAAAATGCAGTTTCTAACTGAAGTGTTCCATCCAAATAGTGAGCATATTCAGTTTTTATTTACTTTATGTTTTCATGTAAAAAAAGATAATTTAGCCGGTTTTGGTAGTGTTGCATTCCTTGAACTAGATAACTTGGAATCATATCGTCGTGCTGAACAACATTATCAGCGCTTATGTCATGCAGGCCCCCTAATGCCCTGGTACGGCCGAGAGTGAGGAGAGTCCGCTCTCCCTCTCGGAATGCTCTCACATGGCCCCGCGAATATATGGCCTCTGCCAGGGAAGTCCTACTCACTGCCTTCTCATGGCGGGGGTGTTGTTTAAGAAATTGAGAGGACGAAAAGCGAATGTCCAGTGCTTTAGCCGGGTTGATGGACATGGAAAGTCCACCTAGGGGAGTTGGATAACCTTGATTCTAAACCAATGGTGCACATGGGCTCCAGTATCCTGAAGGAACAAATGGCATATGAATCAATCGTTGGTCACCGGCTACCATGAGACTGTATACCCTCACGATGTTCTACTGCCTTGTGGACTAGACCTTCAGGTCAAAGGCTCTGGGTGTGGCCTCTAAGAAAACCACCTGCTTCGGTTTGGGCACCTGAGCAGTATCACAGCCCTCACACAAATCAAATGAGATTTGTGAGGCGCATATATATCTGGTGCTTCCTTGTACCAATATTTATGTTTAAATAAAAAATAAATAATAAAATAATATTCAGAATTGAGCTTCAAATTTATTCCTTAAGCCTCACATCAGTTCGTTCTTAGGGCTTTTTTGTGGTTGGTGGTCTTTGTTAGTCTCATTGTCTTCATTTTTGTGTGTGTTCCTGTTGATTTATTTGTTCGGTCGATCTTTGATTATATGGTCGATTGATCTTTTCTCTACGGATCGGTAGGTTTAGTCTATGTTGATGTTTCTGTTGATCGCTGAGTAATTCGGATCTCACGCCTTCTAAAACTCTATGAGACTTAGAGTTTCCTGGACCTAGAAGTTTGACGTTTTCTTAATCGAATTCGTGCCCATGGTTCTCTGCATGCATTGATAGCAGTTCCATTCCTGTGCTATGACTGAGCCCACTTTCTCAAGTAAGAAGCTCTGACTATATTGTTCAGAATTACAATGAAATCCCTGCAATTAAACAATCTAACTCAGGGAAAATAGCACCACAAAAATGTCTTTCTATCATCTTTAGCTGGTAATCGCGCTGCCCCTGACCCTCCTCTAACCCATCTTAGAAAAGTTCATAAAGTTAAGGAAAACTGGAAGCCACATAAGTTATCACGAAGTTTAAATCTCGATAAATCTAACCTCCTAGTCTAAATTAGAGAAATAGACACTTATGATAATAATAGTGCTGAAACTAGTTTTATCACAAATATGTCTAGGTTAAAACAAATTCGACCAGTGAATTTCAGGTTGTGGGGTAATGGCATATTAGAAAGACTACATCTTTCATTGGTAATAATAATAATAGTTATTATTATTATTAATATTATATAGTCACTAGTGTCTAGCTTTAACTCCGCCTGTAGCTCCTCCAGGGGCTACTGCCGGTCCCAAGCCCGGGTAAAGGAGGAGGGTTGGGCATGGGGTTAGCTACCCCATCCCGTAGAAAATCAACTCGCTAAAAAAACGCTAACCAGAAAAATTCATTCAAACCATTCAAACTCTGCCCTGGGAGTAGAAGGAAAAATGACGTCTCATGATGAAAGCCGAGTTCCTTCGGAAGTCATGAGGCCGATGCACCTTCTTACAACCAGAGCGACAATTTTTATAGGTACATGGAATGTCCGGACAATGTGGGAGACCGGCAAAGTCTTCCAAATTTCTGCGGAAATGAGGAAATACAACCTGGAAGTGCTTGGAATCAGTGAAACACATTGGACGCAGGTTGGACAACAACGACTGTCTTCAGGGGAACTTCTGTTATACTCCGGTCATGAAGAAGAAGAAAATGCCCCACATACACAAGGAGTGGCACTGATGCTGTCTAGAAAAGCACAAAATGCACTTATAGGATGGGAATCTCATGGACCGAGGATCATCAAAGCCTCCTTCAGAACAAAGAGAGAGGGCATTACAATGAACATCATCCAATGCTATGCGCCGACCAACGACTACGATGAAGACGCTAAAAACCAATTCTACGATAGGCTGCAGTCAATCTTCGAGAAGTGCCCAACCAAGGACCTGACCATTCTAATGGGAGATTTCAATGCCAAGGTTGGAAAGGACAACACTGGATACGAAGACGTCATGGGACAACATGGACTGGGAGGAAGGAACGAAAACGGTGAGAGATTTGCAAACCTATGTGCCTTCAATAAACTGGTCATAGGTGGCACCATATTCCCACACAAAAACATACACAAAGCCACTTGGATTTCACCGGATCACACTACACAGAATCAAATCGACCATGTCTGCATCAACAAAAAGTTCAGGAGGACGATGGAGGATGTGAGAACCAGGAGAGGAGCTGATATAGCATCCGATCACCATTTGCTGGTCGCCAAGATGAAACTAAAACTCAAGAAGCACTGGACAATGGCGCGGACAACATCACAAAAGTTTAACACGGCCTTTCTTCGAGATGCTGACAAACTCAACGAATTTAACATAGCCCTCAGCAACAGGTTCCAGGCCTTTCATAACCTACTCAATGAAGAGGGAACGACCATAGAGAGCAGCTGGAAAGGCATCAAGGAGGCAATCGTTTCAACATGTCAGGAGGTTCTGGGCCAAAAGAAGCACCATCACAAGGAATGGATCACTGTTGGTACACTGGATAAAATTGAAGCAAGGAGGAACAAGAAGGTAGCAATCAATATCAGCCGAACAAGAGCAGAAAAAGCCAAGGCACAAGCCGAATACACAGAGGCAAACAAGCAAGTGAAGAGGAGCATCAGGACTGACCGACGTAAATATGTGGAAGATTTAGCGATGACAGCGGAAAAGGCTGCAAGAGAGGGAAACATGAGACAACTGTATGATACAACAAAGAAACTTGCTGGAAATTACCGTCAACCAGAAAGACCAGTGAAAAACAAGGAAGGCAAAGTAATCAACGATATTGAAGAACAACGAAACAGGTGGGTAGAACACTTCAAAGAACTCTTGAATCGACCAGCTCCACTGAACCCACCCATCATCGAAGCAGCACCCACAGACCTCCCAATCGATATTGGCCCACCAACAATTGAAGAGATCAGCATGGCCATTAGACAAGTCAAGAGTGGCAAAGCAGCGGGACCAGACAACATCCCGGCAGAGGCACTGAAAGCAAATGTAACAGCAACTGCCAAGATACTCCACATCCTCTTCGGTAAGATTTGGGACGAAGAACATGTACCAACAGACTGGAAAGAAGGACTTCTCATCAAGATACCAAAGAAAGGCGATCTGAGCAAATGCGACAACTACAGAGGCATCACTCTCCTCTCAATACCAGGAAAAGTCTTCAACAGAGTATTGTTAAACAGGATGAAGGATTCCGTGGACGCTCAACTTCGAGATCAACAAGCTGGATTTCGTAAGGATAGATCGTGCACAGATCAAATCGCAACTCTACGTATCATTGTGGAACAATCAATCGAATGGAATTCATCACTCTACATCAACTTCATCGACTACGAGAAGGCATTTGATAGCGTGGACAGGACGACACTGTGGAAGCTTCTTCGACACTACGGTGTGCCTGAGAAGATAGTAAATATCATACGGAACTCCTATGATGGACTAAACTGCCAAATCGTCCACGGAGGACAACTCACCGACTCGTTCGAGGTAAAGACCGGTGTTAGGCAAGGTTGCCTACTCTCACCCTTTCTCTTTCTCCTGGTGATCGACTGGATTATGAAGACGTCAACATCTGGAGGAATGCACGGGATACAGTGGACAGGCAGGATGCAGCTTGACGATTTAGACTTCGCGGATGATCTGGCTCTTCTATCACAAACGCAACAACAAATGCAGGAGAAAACGACCAGTGTAGCAGCAGCCTCAGCAACAGTAGGTCTCAATATAAACAAAGGGAAAAGCAAGACTCTCCGGTACAATACAATATGCACCAATCCAATTACACTTGACGGAGAAGCTTTGGAGGATGTGGAAATCTTTACATATCTGGGCAGCATCATTGATGAACACGGTGGATCAGATGCAGATGTGAGGGCGAGGATCGGCAAAGCAAGAGCAGCATACCTACAGCTGAAAAACATCTGGAGCTCAAAACAATTGTCAACCAACACCAAGGTTAGAATTTTCAATACAAATGTCAAGACAGTTCTTCTGTATGGGGCAGAGACGTGGAGAACTACGAAAGCCATTATCCAGAAGATACAAGTGTTTATTAACAGTTGTCTACGCAAGATACTTCGGATCAGATGGCCAGACACTATCAGCAACAAGTTACTGTGGGAGAGAACAAACCAGATTCCAGCGGAGGAAGAAATCAGGAAGAAGCGCTGGAAGTGGATTGGGCACACTTTGAGGAAATCACCCAATTGCGTCACAAGACAAGCCCTCACATGGAATACTGAAGGTCGAAGGAGAAGAGGAAGACCAAAGAACACATTACGCCGAGAAATAGAGACAGACATGAGAAGAATGAACAAGAACTGGATAGAACTAGAAAAGGAAGCCCAGGACAGAGTGGGTTGGAGAAAGCTGGTCGGCGGCCTATGCTCCATTGGGAGTAACAGGCGAAAGTAAGTAAGTAAGTAAGTGTCTAGCTTTGAGATGGATTCCTAAAGTGCAAATGTTAATTTATGTCTAGTGAAGTTCAATTGTCCAGTTCCAACAACTTTCCATCATTGAAGTTGTCTTACTACTCCATACATTTCTTTAAGCTAAAATTTTATATTATAGAATCTTTGGAAGTCCTCTGTCCATTCCCTGGTAAACCCCCGCAGTATGTATATACATCTTGCTAATGAATTTCATATTAGGACGAGACAGTAGATCCCCATTGTTCCCTAACAGAGGTTCTCCAACTAACAATGTAACTGTGTGAAAATTTTTTGTAAAACTCC